TAATAACAAATGTATTTGTATCCTGCCTCCATATTCTTCAGTAAGTGGCCATAGTACACAACTGATACACAGAAATACAATACCCGGTGCCAAAAGCAAACACACCGCTAAGAGCTTTACAGAGAAAGCCAGTCGGCAGCAACGAGAGGTTGTCTGGTGGCTAAATCTTTCCACTTCTCGTACAGAGAGGGTGGAGTCGAACGCCAGCAAGTTGGAACCCGACGGGGAGATCTCGTTGGTCTTTCGTCTGACTCCAACTTCTCTGTACTGACGGCTGTATCTCATACTATTCCGTGGTATAAAAGCACAGCGCGAGCTGTGGAGCTTGGAACAAGGGAGAGGTGATGGTCACCCGTTTGTATGACCTGCAGCCAACCAGGTGAGTAATGAATCTATATTGATGTTGGTGTTAATCAGGAGTTAACTTCAGTTGTAAAGGTTGAGTCTGTATATTTGAATAGAACAGCAGGAACAGCTGGAGCGATACGTGGGGTTGCTAAGAAAACCACTGATTTCCATGACTTCAGTTACTTTATAAAGAGGTTCTCGTTTCTATGATACACAGCACGAGCATGTTCGATATAAAGGTAGTTTTAACTGAATTTGGCCAAAGAATATTCAACAAAATAACTAAGCCTAATACAAGCGACCACAAGGCAATGGCAAGTGGTGTCTGTGTCCGCAGGGCAGCTAACGGGGGGGGCGTAGAGCAGAGACTGCTCTGGCGCTCCTTCAGGTGCTGGCTCACGAGTTCCTCTCTCAGATTCATTTTTCCAATCTGTCTCTTCTTCTTTGTCCCTCTGGGAGTCTGGGTCTTGGTCTTCATTTTCTACCTGCACTCTTTTTTATTGATCACAAAACGATCCATTGCAACGGACTGTAAGCTAACTAGTCTTAGCCTAAAAGCCGTGCGGCTGTGGAGCCGGTGGGTGGGACTACTGATATGACGACAAAAAGAGGGTGTGTCTCGGTGAAATGTCGCGAAATATGTTGGGCGTTTGTTCTGCCTGGGTCACGTCAGCTAGAAGGATTGTAAAGAAGTTTCATTTACATTAACGTTTGAATCGGTTTGTGTGTGTGTGTGTGTGTGTGTGTGTGTGTGTGTGTGTGTGTGTGTGTGTTTTATTAGGCGCAGAAAAGGTCTGTTTACCATATATTCCAAAAAGAAGTGTAAATTGGTGGTACTGAGTTGGAGTGAAGTTGACTAACAAGGTGAAACAGAATTGGGTGATAATGTTTTGCTACATGCTTTACAACCAGTCAAACCAAAAAAGGGAACAGTAAACTTAAAAGTAGCAATAGAAAACTAGAAGAACTACTAGAAAACACAGTGAACTGAAAGAGTTAGAGTTTTATTACAAATACTTGTATTGCCATTATATGATCATTTTTGCATCACAAATTCCACTGGAGTCTGTAACAAACAACACCTCTGCAGCACTACAGTGCATTATAATGCTGTTTGTCACACATTGGACCTTTATCAAAAAAAGTGCTGTGACTTCCTTGTTGCACATATTTCCATTAATTGTGCATCCCTGATCATCTGTGGGTGAGTTAAACACAGTCCTCCAACAAGGCCCCCCCTTTAGGACACTGTGGGCACAGTGTTTTTATTATAGCCCATATGAAGATAATTATATTGATATTTAAAATATGTTGGATTGAACTCTCCATGTCCTCTTCAGCCAGCAGCAACACAGCTCAGTGAACACCTCCATCCTCATATTGTCATGTTTCCTGCTTATAGTGGAGAGTTAACTACTGGCGCCATCTTGTGACAGAAATACATTACTGCAGTTTATCATCAGCATCAACACTGTACCTAGACTATAAATACAAAGGAGTATTGTAATGACTACAGACAGACTGCAGATGTTTGTTCTGGTACATGTGAGGACTGAACTTTGACCTCATGTGTTTATGACTCTTCACCGCTGTCTCCTCTCACAGGGAGAAGATGATCTGCTGGATCCTGCTGCTCATCAACCTGACCTCCTGTGTCTGTGGTTAGTTTCCACCTTCACTTTATTATCCATGAAGAGAAAAGTCCGAATACACTTTCAGACTTCCATCTTTCAATCTGTAAGGAGGAAGGCCTCTACAGCACTGAGAGCATCACTAAACTGTCCACAGAAACATCTCTAGATGGAGTTTAAAGGCTCACATGTTAAAGTTGTCACTTTGTCTGGTCCTCACTTTCCCTCTCTGTCTCCTCAACAGGAACATTTGTAGTGAATGTGACACAGACCTCCTATCAGGCAGAGGAGAACAATAACATCACACTGGAATGGACGTTCACAACCAACACTCACAGTTCCCTCAACTTCCTTTTTATCTACAGTGAACTGATTACTGATCACAAGGTTTCAGTCCTCTATAATCTAAGGGATGGTGTCGAGGTCTCAGAGTCTCAGGATGATCAGTTTAAAGGACGAGTCCAGTGTGACAAAGACGTCCTCAGAGAAGGACGAATCAGACTTCATGTGTCCAGACTCAGGACAGAAGACTCGGGTCGGTACCGGTGTAAAGTGAAAACAACTTATGGTGACAACGTTGGTGAATGTCGACTCATTGTCACTGGTAAGTTGATTTTATAGAACTCAGTTAGTAAAAGAGGACTCAGAGTCTGAGACTATTAGTTTGGTGTGTTAGCATGCTAACATGAGCTAATTAGCACTAAACACAAACTAATAGCTGAGCTGAGTTACTTTAGTGTTAAGTTAAATTCCTCCTGAGGGGGACACGGATGGACAGACTGATATTTCCATTCACAGAGCTTCTGCCAGCGGCTGAAACTGTCCATCATAACGACCTGGAGCCATGAACCAGGAAACAGAGAAAATCAGCAAATCCTCACATTGGAGAAGCTGTAACTAGATAATGTTTGCTGTTTAACCACATTTTATATAATGTCCTTTACAGCAGCTGCTGATGAGCCCAAACCTCAGAGACCAGAGAGTCCACAACCAGAGAGTCCACAACCAGAGAGTCCACAACCAGAGAGTCGGGGAATGATCGGCCTCTATGTTGTACTGGGACTGACAGCAGCTCTACTGGCTGTCTGTGTCGTATTCTGCTCTGCCTCCTGTCACTGTATGACTAAATCTGCTGATAAGAAATGAATCATCTCTGCAGCTGTACAGATGTTGACACAACCCATCAGGACTTACAGGACTCTGTTTGGAGGACCCTCTTTCTGTCACAATGAGCCATCAGACTGTTTAAGACCTGACTGATGAAACCAACAGACTCTGAGACTCTCTACCTTCAACATCTGTTTTAAGTCTCTTCTTAAAATGCACTTTTACAGTCTTGTCTTCTGGCGGTCCTTTTTTCTAACCTTTTATTCACTGTGGTTTTATTGTTGTTTTTAATTGTTTTATCTTTTTTTATTTAGTGATTGATAATGTTTACTTTGTTTATTTTATATGTTGTTACTGATGCTGCTAGGTTCTTAGTGTGAACCCAGTTTACATTATTATTATTAAGATAATTATCTTAATTCATTCGTTCTGATGGACACTGTTACAATGCACTGACTTTATACTGTTTATAATGTGTATATATTGTAAATAAATCTCTATTTATATGAAAGAAGTCTTTTAATAGTCTTTAATAAACATATTGTATTATATATATTTCCTATTGAATGCAGTGATTGTACATGTATATGTGAATGTGTTTGCCTTCCTCCAGGCAGTCCATTGAAACTTGAGTCAGAGCATCCATCACAGTGAACATCATGTCTCATCATGTGTTCTACTGTAGCTGTCAGAGCTGTGCTGCTGCAGTTCAAAGTGCACATTGATTAGAAAAGTGTCCACTGCACCATGATCCAACAAGAACTAAAGTGACACATTAATAACAGACAGTATGTGGAGCATGTTAAAGTCTCTGCATGCTGATTTAAAGTGAAGTAGAATGAAAGCAGCAGCAGCCTGGAGGAGAAGACAAACACATTCAACAAGTAGACATCTAAGGAAGCAACAAAGGTCCACCTAGTGGTGAACAAATATACAGCAGAACCAAGTGGGCGTAACTTCCTGCCTCAGTGAGTTTATAAACTCACTGTAAATAAACAATAACAATCACAGTAACAAAACAAATAACTGTGGTCATGAAGCTGATCATCTTCTTCCTCATCTGACAGCTCGCTGCTATTCAACTGTTAACTAATCATTAGATTGATAGTCAGCAGTGTTTGAGTTGTGTTCAGGGTTCATGTACTGTTGGTTCAACATGTGTTTCTTTCTACTGTGACACAGATTAGAAAATGGTTGAACATGATGGTTTGGTACAGCTGTCCAGTTGAGACTTGGGTAAAACAAAATACAAATATGCTTATATATGTAATTACCATGAATTCATTCATGCAAATTCAATAAACATAGTAAAGTAATTCACAAACTAAATCTCATTTTACATTCTTCCCTTTGTTCAGATGAAAAACTGCTGCTGTCTGTTCCGTTACTCCAGCCTTTGAGTTTTTAACTTTAACTTCTTAACTTTTATTCTCTTTTTGTTCGTTCTTATTTGTTCACTGTAACTCTATGAAGTCCTGTCCTCTCTAGCGATGTTGTTTGACAGAGTTTTTGTGTTTTCTTTCGTGTTTTAATGCCGCTTCCACCGGGACACGCTGCCGTATGATGGCACTAACGGCGGTCGGTACAGTGGACAGAGCCGCTGATTTACCGGCGGAACTCTGGAGGAAACACACCGGGGATGAAGAGGAGGGAAGCAACGTGGGGGAAGAGAGGAGGGTGGAGACGGGACGGCTTTATGGAGAAGATTGAAGCGGTCTCTTAACGCGGAGCCACGCAGAGTACCGGGAGTCTGATGTGTTTCACTGAGACAGGACTGCACAGGGACATTACGGACCACAACGTCTCTGTCGATGGCTTCCACACACACACACACACACACACACACACATATGGAGTATATTTAACGAAAGTAATTCCCCCCTGGGATTATTAAAGTATGTCTGATTCTGATTGTGATTTCAAGAGTTATGAGAAATAAATCTGATTTAAACTAACATTTAGTGTTGAAACAGACAGTTAACATATTGTTGCTGGTTGAGGGAACACAGACAGGAGACACAATGGCGGTTTGTTCTTTATTTTACTTTCATTCAGACTCCCTCCCTCCTTCAGTTCACTTCTTTCTGATGATGGCTGTACAATCTAGAGGCGGGCTGTGGCTCAGAGGCAGAGTGGGTCGCTCAGTAATCGGAAGGTTGGCGGCTCGATCCTAAGGAGGGTCTGTGTGCCGCACTAGTTCCTCTTTCCCTTCAGTCCGCGGAGGAATACTTTGCAGTGCTTAGACACTATAAAAGAGCTGCTCAAAGCTGCGGTCTCTGTTTAAGGCAGAGAGATGTGGAGGAGTGGAGCTGAATGCAGAACTTCAACAAGACCCAGCGGTTACTACAGAACCATCTCTGCCATCAGGTAAACATTTATAAATATGATCTCTCTACAGGACGTTGGTGGCCAGCAGCTTAAACTGCAGCAGGGGGAATTCACTGTATCAAACTACATAGTTTTACTATTAGAGTTCTGTTGATATCTAACCTACACACTGATCTTTACTTCATGTGGACATGAATATATATATACAGTATGGGTTTCAGATTAAAAACGTTAACTAATTTCTTTGGATTAGGCTGTTCTTATATTGTATGTATCAAAGCTCAGTGTATAAAGATGGAGGACGTGTGTTGGTAAAGACATGGTCAAACATGTCATATTTGTACATGATGAACAACCATGTGTGTAATGTATGCAACTTCAGAAAGTCCTTAAATGTATATTTCCTCCAAGAACCTGAATGACTATTCCAGATTGACCAAAGCATGCATCACACATTCTCAATCATATTTCATAAAGTGGGGCAAGGAACAGAAATACCCCGAACACATTTTCAACACTTGAATGCATATTTAGTTGCTTGAATATAAAGTTATAACATTGTCTTTTACTGATGACAGATTTATATCCTCAACATTAATCTGGTCAGAATCCTAAAACACTGAAAAGTGTCCTTGGCTCCAGTCCTGCTGACTGGATTTAGTTAGAACAGGAAATAGACACACAGGAGTTTAGGTGTCCCACTGCAGATGAAAATACATTCAAAAAATGTTTTTTAAAGACATGGGATGCCACAGGAGTCTCTTCTTGGTTCTTTGCTGTTTATTTTGTACATCAATAACAGCAGTTCAGCAGTTAAACCCTGTGTATCACAGTGCATTACTCTTTATCACTAATGACTAATCTTGTACCCATCACTGTTCTCTGTATCAAAGGGTTGGATGGACTTACTGTCAACTAGAAATATCCATCCCATGTTATTCATTTATAAAGCTCTACTGTTCTAAAGCTTCCAAACTACCTTACATCACTACTGTCATTATAACGATCCAGTAACTACCTAACCTTCCACATCCCTCGTTAGCACTAATAATGCCACATCTGGTTTCTTGTCCTTATAAACTATATAAACTGTTTAAAACTAAATGGTAAGCCTGAAATGATATCAGATCTGATCAAATGTATTTGTATTTCACAATATATATCCATCATTATTTCTTCCAGACATTGATCTAAGTACTGTAGATAGCCTGTAGCTCCATTAGAAGACCTCCTACTTTGAGTGTTTTTAATACATATAAATAATATTCTGTTCTTTTTTACTGAGTAACCATCAAAGATGTTGGATTGAACTCTCCATGTCCTCTTCAGCCAGCAGCAACACAGCTCAGTGAACACCTCCATCCTCATGTTGTCATGTTTCCTTTTTTAGTGGAGAGTTAACTACTGGCACCATCTTGTGACTGACATACATTACTGCAGTTTATCATCAGCATCAACACTGTACCTAGACTATACATACAAAGGAGTATTGTAATGACTACAGACAGACTGTAGATGTTTGTTCTGGTACATGTGAGGACTGAACTTTGAACTCATGTGTTTATGACTCTTCACCGCTGTCTCCTCTCACAGGGAGAAGATGGTCTGCTGGATCCTGCTGCTCATCAACCTGACCTCCTGTGTCTGTGGTTAGTTTCCACCTTCACTTTATTATCCATGAAGAGAAAAGTCCAAATACACTTTCAGACTTCCATCTTTCAATCTGTAAGGAGGAAGGCCTCTACAGCACTGAGAGCATCACTAAACTGTCCACAGAAACATCTCTAGATGGAGTTTAAAGGCTCACATGTTAAAGTTGTCACTTTGTCTGGTCCTCACTTTCCCTCTCTGTCTCCTCAACAGGAACATTTGTAGTGAATGTGACACAGACCTCCTATCAGGCAGAGGAGAACCATAACATCACACTGGAATGGACGTTCACAACCAACACTGGCAGTTCCCTCAACTTCCTTTTTATCTACTGTGAACTGATTACTGATCACAAGGTTTCAGTCCTCTATAATCAAAGGGATGGTGTCAAGATCACAGAGTCTCAGGATGAACAGTTTAAAGGACGAGTCCAGTGTGACAAAGACGTCCTCAGAGAATGACGAATCAGACTTCTTGTGTCCAGACTCAGGACTGAAGACTCGGGCCTGTACCTGTGTAAAGTAAACACAAATCATGGTGGAAGTTTGCGTAAATGTCGACTCAATGTCACTGGTGAGTTGGTTCAGTAGAACTTTATTGCAGCAGCTTTTTTGGATAAATAAGATCAGAGGAGAAAAGTATTGTGGACTACCACAGCAGTATCTGGGACATATGATACACCTCCATCTTTATAGTGACCAAATGGTTTTATTGATTTGGCTTTTTGCCATTAGAAATGTACATTTAGATTCACATATTGACATAAAATAAATGTGATGATAAATAGTATTGTTATAAGTTGTAAGTAAACTTATAATATGCAGATATTTCCATCTCATTACTGCCATTTTCTGCACTTATTCCACAGAATATATTTATTGTATGTGGATAGAGCAAGAGAGGAGTCATCATTCAATAAAATAATGTTTGGAAGGCAGGGTATAGTTCCATCCATTATATCTGATAACGCTGTACTTACTTGTTGTTAGCTTTATATAATTATATATAGTTATAGTTATACTGAGATCTGTTGTGGATATTTAGGTTGATTTGTATGAATGACACAGATATGTTTGGTCTCTTTACAGCAGCGAGGGATTTGCCCAAACCTGAGACACAAAACACAAGAAGTTGGGGAAGACTCGGACTCTACTGTGGACTGGGACTGGCAGCAGCAGCAGCAGCTGTGCTGGTTGCTTTTTATCTTTTATTCATTCACTCTGTACCTGAAGGTCACGACTTCAGATTTCAGGTCAGTAGTAGAAGGGAACATTTACAGCTCAGCATATGATCAGAGGAAACACTTTGATCAATAATGTAAATGAGACAGACTTCATGTGTCCAGACTCAGGACTGTACCTGTGTGAAGTGAACACACATTATTTGCTGGCAGCTTCTGAATGTCACTGGTGAGTTGATTCTGGAGAACGTAGTCCAACTTTCTTAACTCATACCATGGACACAGAAAATAGTAGTTTCTCATTGGCTGACAGGAAATACACAAACCAGCAGGTAACCATGGCAACAACTTCACACACATTACATGGGTAAAACAAAAAAGTTGCTAAAGATTAAAACCCATCCTACTTTTATATTCTTCAGTAAGTGGCCATGGTATAAGAGTCATAGTAGATAAACAGGTGTACCTCATATACCAGGTATAATCTATTCAATTTCTCTTTTATTTACCTTTTATGCATTTAAAACTCTGTAAACAACAACAATAAAATATGTTTTTCTTTATATTCTATGGATCATGTAGCTGACTCCTGCAGGATGTAATGAAGTGTTCAGGTTCACTTAAGATCCTTCAGATCTGCCTGTTCTGATGTGTTATGTACACTGGCAATAAGCTTTAACCTTTTCTTGTTGTAATGTGCAATTTAAACTGAAATGTACTGTTACTGTTTTATTGTTGCTGTTATTTACTGTGTTACTGATTATAATTTTTTCATTGTATGTGTGCTGTAAGAAAAGCTTTGAGTTGTTCACACTGCTATTAAGGATGAAGATCAGCAGAGGAAGCTCTTTACTTTAAGTTAGGGTCGTCTTGTTTCAGTGGATTTTGTTTTCCACATGTTAAGGTTGTGAAAAGCTGTCAAGCTTTCATTGGTTGCATTTTGGTTTAAAGGAGTTTCACTAAGAAGATTAATATTACATTATGATAACATCATTACACACCTGAATCAAGCAATGTGGTTGTTGTTTGAATGTTTCTGTAACTGGAATGCAGCAGAAAGCAGCAGGAAGGTTTCTCCATATGTGATTTAATTGATAACATTTATCCTCTTTTATTCACTTTATCTTATGAACTTTGTTGTTATTGAGTGTTTAAGATTTTATACCTTAAAGTTAAATAAGTAAATCTAATGAATCTTTCTGGTATAAAAGAAATAAATACAAAATTTGTTGTTTCCATTTTTGTCAGAACTTTCCTTTTTCTGTGGTTGTAATAAAACACCAACTCACATTATACTATGTTTACTATGTACAATAAGTACACATTATAATCAGTATGAAAGCACTGTAACAATGGCCATCATAAGATTAAAATCATCAACTGAAGGCGGCTGCAGTTTTCAGAAGCAGCGTCTCTCCACTGACCTGATATATAGTATATATAGTAAATATGTTTTATCTGTTTTTTACATCAGTGGATCACTGGTCTATATTGAGTTGAATTAAATGCTGAATAACTTAAAGCTGTGATTGTTCTAATGAAGTTAGTGATTAAAAGAGTGTATTGTTGAAGTTTGACAGGTGTTATATCATGTTTAAATGTTTAATTTGTCTCTTTTAATGCATTTAATAATAACATCTGCATTTGTATTCGCCTTTATATTGTTCAATAAGTCGCCGAGAGTCATAGTACACAACTGATACACACAAATAATGGACTTTCCACTGCCAGAAAGCTGCCGGACAGCTGCCATCACCCTCTGTGCAATAAGGCAAACCGCTTCTTCCCCATGTCAGATAAAAATAAATAAATAAACAAAAAGGGCGTATCTTCTGGCTAGCACAGAGGGTGGAAGTGTTTAAAGGCACAGCGCTTCTTCCCTAATGCAGAAAACATGAATCAAAGCATACTATGACACACAACATCTGAAGCATTTTGGGAGGATTGAACCGCCAACCTTTGGATTACTGAATGACCCACTCTACCTCTGAACCACAGCCAACCCCTGTCACTGTACAGTAGCTGTGGAACTTGGAACAGGTGAGAGGCGACGGTCACATGTTTGGTTTAACTGAAGACAACCAGGTCAGTGGGGGAGAGTGGGGTAAGATGAGCCATTTTTCATATTTAGGACCACTACATCAAGGCAATCATAGTTTTATATCTGCATATATTCCAGGATGTTGTGCATCCCTTCAAACAAACAGAATGAGTGTAAACATAACTGTTTTGATAATATAGCATGTCCAAAAAAGTGGTCTCGTGGCTCAACTTACCCCGCTCATGCCAACTTACAAGTTGTAACATAAGTTGAGCCGTATCCCTACTCCCTAACCCCCCTCACCCTCTTCCTCCCTAAATAACACTCACTTCTTCACATTCATGTGTATTTTTATTTATTATACACAATTCAACAGGTACAATAACTTTTTTTATTATTATTGCATATTACTGCTAAACAGCTGTTTTGTAAAAAAAAACAAAAAACATTTTAACATGAGAATGCCTTAAAGTGCGCTTAGGAAGAGAACATTAACATCTATCCCCATCCCTCCCTTCGATCCATCCAACTGTTAATGTTGACCGGCCCTTTTCAACCATCCAGTCTTCAATGTTACTAATTCTTAGATTTTGATGAACTCTCTATTTTGAAATGGCAACGTTTGATGCGTTCAGATTTGGACACACTGGGTCAACTTGTATGGGACACTGTTAGAGATGTGTGTACCCAGACGTTTGTTGTTCAGTGTGGTTGATCTGTCCATAATGCCATTTGTAGATTTCCTCAAGCAGTTTTATCCTTTTGTTAACTGTGATATTGTAATGCACCTGATCTGATAAAACATCATGTTTACTGAACCTGCTGTTTGTATTGATGCATTTCAAACTTTTTATCACAAGATGGTGTATGACTCTTGAGTTGGAGGATTAAATAGTTTGTTTAACATATTTCAAGGGGACTTATCTACTTGTTTGGCTCTGATTCTTATATTGTAAGATCTGACAACAGCATCATTGTTTGTGTTTATTTGCAGTTGTTTTGTCATTCCTTTATATGTTGACAGTATTTATTCTGAACCCTTATTAAACATGTTTATTCCTTAAAGGCACACTATGCAAGATTTGTACCTTAATATAACAGCTTCGAAGTCATTTCGATGGTAAACGAACTTGTAGTATAGAGAATCATCCTGATAGCAAAGCAGGAGAGGGACGCCGTTGGCAGAACCAGCAACGCAAGTCTGAAAGGTGGCGTCCCGCCAAATCTAACAAGAATTGCTTTATGGCGTGACGTCACACACATCAGCAACATAAGAAGCAGCCTCAATGGAAGACACTAGCAGGCATTCACTCAGACGTTACCTGGTCAGTAGACATCTTCGGAGTCTATCTTTGCCTACTCGAACTAAGTACCTCCTTGTAATATGATTTAATTGAGTTGGTCAAACTCATCTTTATCAAATACAGCCAAAATAAAATAGGTACATTAACTGGCCTAAACTGATTTACCTTTGTACAACCTAAACTAATATAGCTGGTCTAAAATAATATTATTCAGAGACACATAACACAAAATCTGGTTAATATGTTTTTATTTAAAACGAATAAAACCTCATACAAATATATATATCTATATATCTATAGAGAAAGAGAGAGGGAGAGAGAGATATATATAGATATAAAACATCAACATGGAACTCATCAACATATTGATGACAGTTACTGACTTGTGTCAAAACACACAGAAAAACTGCCTCAGAGCCTAGCTATATGTTTCAGGCAGAAAAGCTAAGGCATGTTTTGACCGACCCTGAACATTTTTTACCATTAACTGCACTATGTAGTGCCTAAATACTGGAATGAAATATACATATACCACATTTAACACACATCTACAGTACAAAACATGGAAAGTCTTCCACCAATCTCAAACTAAACTATTCAAAATGCACTTTGACCTTGACTGAGAGCTTAGCTTTTTAAGCTTCTCTTAAGTTTTTTATCTATGATGAACACAGTGTATGACCTATCATATTTAGAAAAGTAAATAAATTAATCCGCTTCAAAACTGCTTCAACCAAAGTAACTAGTATTAGTGCTAGTACAATAATAATACAAGTAGAATATCTGCAAAGGCTAAGGCATGGTATAACCAACTCACATTAAACATGAAAACTTTGGTTCTACTATACTATACACATGGTAGAAGTACAAAACAGAACCTGAAACGTGAGAGAAAAAAAGGAATTTCTTTGAGTCCAGTCACAGCCTATCCATTGGAACACACTTCAAGATGTGCTACACAAGTAGTTAACAAGAAAAACATCCATGCTGACTGTCACTGAATGTGTGGACACAGTGTTTGCACCTTATGAAAACAGCTTGATTTTCAGCTTCTGGAAAAACTCGAAGAACTTGAGGTTTTCGGGAAAGGCTAGATCAAGGGCATAAATGAGCCCAAACAGCATGATGAACCCCATGATGACGCTGCCAACATTGTTGAGGACTTTAATGCCCTCAATCACAACTCCCACGTCCTCTGGCTCTTCATGTCCATCTCTTCGGATTGTGTAAATCCCCATGACTGTGGTGGCGATGTCCCTCTCTGCATCCTCAGCTGCAGAGGACCGAACAACAACACAGAAAACAAATATAAGTAAAATGCTAATCAACAAACAGAAAATCATATACAACATATAAATGCACAGTTACTACATACAGCAGTTTAAAGCAGTTTATCAGTTGCTTCTGTCAAAAAAACAGGTGCTAATTCGTGCTGTAGCCTTCAACGTTTGATAAGATATAGGCCAGGGTTAGGGATGGTGGTGCTTTTATAGAATCTTCTGATGCACACATCAGTGTTGTTTCCTGAAGTCACTGGCTGTTTCATAGTATTTCTTATAAATAACGCATGGAATTAGATTAGTCTCAGTATTATAGAGTAACTAACCCCTGCAGTCAGAGCCTAACTTCACCTGCTGCATCATTTTGAAAAATGCTTAAAAAGTGGACAGACACTGACAGAACAAGGAGAGAGGAGGAGGTGAGACAGGGTGGAGCGTATTTCACAGACTGCTCCTCAGATTCTGGAGAATATGGATGACAGTGGACTGAGCCCGATCAGCTTCAGCTCCATCACTGCCTGAAACTGGAGCTGTCAGAGCCAAGGCTATAGCAGTGGAAGAGAGCTGTAGCAACATAATGTCAGCAGCTTTATGGCCAACATCTTTCAGTTTTAAAACTATGCAATTTCAATGATCCTTTTAGAATCTACCACAGAAAATATTCAGCAAAACTCAGGAGTGAGAAACCAAATCCATCCCCACTTATAAAGGTATGTGTGTCTGCGTGTACTGTGTGTATCTTTGTATGATCATTTCCAGTGTGTACAGTGACTACTACGTGTCACTTGGTTGCAGTAATGTCCTGACGAGTAAAATGGAGGTGCCAGAAGACAGGAAATTCAGGAAAAATAGAAAAGAGATGACTTAGAGTATTTTTTATGTTGCAGGTTTACAATTATACTACATGAGAGAATTTTAATAAACTTACCAAATATTCCTTGAAAAACACATCTGGGTCTTCATTGACATAGACAACAAGGCTTCTCAGGATGCACTCCCTCCTTATGTTGATGTCATCGCACTAAAACATGGGTGACAAATAAAGACACCTGGTTGTGATGGTGGTGCAGGGATTAGAACAGTCTGAAGATCAGTAGGTTTTTGGGCTGTCTGTTGTATATGTGAAAAAAATAATTATATAATCAAACTGTAAAAGAAAGCAATAAAATCAATTAATAACAGACATTTACACACCTCGTTTTCCTGACAGCATTAGATGATGTTTGTGCCACAGCTTCTCTTTTTGTATTGGTAAAAAAAAACTGACTGACTGTTAGCTAGCCTTTGGTGTTGTAACCATAGACTGTATATATCACATAAATGACCAACACATTCAAAACGGCAATTTGCGACAAGTTTGCAGCGAGTAATTGGTCTTTGCAAGCCACAAACAGCCTGTAACATCTAAGTAGACAGGTTTAATGTGTGAGAGAGAGAGAGACCCTGACTGAGGAGGGGAAGGGAGGGCAGAGGTGAGGGGGGGTTTGCTTAAACAGACTCATTAGTTGTTAGAGCTCATAATTCATGTTCGTGTACACTTTTTAAGTAAAAGTTGTGTGGTTATAACCCGTGTCAGAGTAACCACAGACACTTGGTCAAACTTAATTCTCCCTCATGTATCTTAGCTAGCTAGCCCGCGAGCCCATGTCAGACTTCACTGACGGTAAAATTTGTCTGTCTTTTCACAGCATGCTTTTTAAAATATAACAAAATCGAGTACTCACCAAGGAGTGGAATTACAGCAGCTTTCCGTGGCTCTGTAAAGTAAAATAAGTAAAAAAATCCTGCCGCAGCGTTGGCAGAAGTTGTCAGTGAAAAATGACCGGGAGGAACGGAGGCTGAGAGCGCGCTGCTTCGGGCAATGGGCGGTCCCAATTCAAATGAAACTCATTTGTTTTGAGTTCATGAATGTCAAGGTGAAACTATTACGTTACCACAATTAAATTTACATCTGTTTAGTGTTTACTAGATTTGTTTCAGCAAATCAAACAACAATTTAATGTGTCACATCAAAGAAGGGCTTGGATCAGTTTTTGAGTGCAGCAGCCTGTTCACCACTAGTTGGTGCTGTTGTTGTCTGTCCACGTACTTTCAGCACATGGTGTTTTTATTATATATGAAACTGTTCTTTCATTTTTATTGGTGGATTCACACAAACACATTTAACCAAACATTATCTTTTTTTTCTTTATCTATTACTATGTATGTGTTTATGACTCTTCACCGCTGTCTCCTCTCACAGGGAGAAGATGATCTGCTGGATCCTGCTGCTCATCAACCTGACCTCCTGTGTCTGTGGTTAGTTTCCACCTTCACTTTATTATCCATGAAGAGAAAAGTCCAAATACACTTTCAGACTTCCATCTTTCAATCTGTAAGGAGGAAGGCCTCTACAGCACTGAGAGCATCACTAAACTGTCCACAGAAACATCTCTAGATGGAGTTTAAAGGCTCACATGTTAAAGTTGTCACTTTGTCTGGTCCTCACTTTCCCTCTCTGTCTCCTCAACAGGAACATTTGTAGTGAATGTGACACAGACCTCCTATCAGGCAGAGGAGAACCATAACATCACACTGGAATGGACGTTCACAACCAACACTGACAGTTCCCTCAACTCTCTTTATATCTACTGTGTACTGATTACTGATCACAAGGTTTCAGTCCTGTATCATCTACATGAAGGTGTCGAGGTCCCAGAGTCTCAGGATGAACAGTTTAAAGGACGAGTCCAGTGTGACAAAGACGTCCTCAGAGAAGGACGAATCAGACTTCATGTGTCCAGACTCAGGACTGAAGACTCGGGCCTGTACCTGTGTGAAGTGAAGACAACTTATGGTGGCAGTTTGGGTCAATGTCGACTCAATGTCACTGGTGAGTTGATTCAGTATAATTTCTGACACATCTTAGTGTACTGTGTTAGCATGCTAATGTTAAACAAAACTGTCATAAACAATATTATTATGATTATGACGACACAAAAACATCACCAAAGTAACAAGTCATCTTGAGGAGGACATGAATGGACAGAGAAACATTTCCATCCACAGAGCTGCTGCTAGTGCTGCTAAAACTCTCCATCATAATCAGAATAGTCTCTTTTCTCTGTGTCAACCTCAGAGACCAACAGAGAGTCGGGGAAGGATCAGCCTCTATGTTGGACTGACAGCAGCTCTACTGGTTGTCTGTGTCGGACTCTACTTTGCCTCCTGTCTTTGTTTGACTAAATCTAAAGAAAGGAAATGTCTCTGTATAGATGTTGAGTTTTGAGAGTCAGAAAACTACATGTAATATAAAATGTATATTTTTCTGTTAAATGGTGTTCATGTTACTACAGGTTATTTTGACATTTCTCCACACTGGCGCAGTAAAGATACTCGATTGGCTATTAGGTGTTTTTTATTCATCATGGCCGCATGGAAAACTTTAATGCAACATATTTTATTTTAAATGTAGGTTCGAATTATGGCTTAATGTTCATAATACATTTATTTTGAAAACCGGAAGTGAATACGCTGTTTCTCCGCTTTTACCGTAATGCTGAGAATACTCGCACAGTTGAAATTTACGTGCGGCTGATTTGACCACGGAGATCGAAGTTACGGCTGGTTTGACCGCAGTCGCTGGGCGGAGAAACACAGAGATGTAACTCAGTATTGCTCCACCCAGAGTGCATGAGAAGTGAGAAGTGGAGTGCCTGTTGCGGTATGTGTTTAATAACACATGAATTGTGAACAGACAAGTCACAGTCGCCCCTCTAGACTGCACAGCCATCATCAGAAAGTGTGACCAGCATCAAGAGCCTTTTCATAAATATCCTAAATATTTCTTTAGGTTGTAAAATGTCTTACAGTTCTGTGAATTCACTTTCGCTGCTTCTGACTAAAAGTTAGATCAGCAGACTTTCCATATTTAGGCGGTGGACTCCTGGATTCTTTCATTAATACTTTTATGTTAGACTTATGTTAGTCTATAGCCTGATGATAAAGAACCCAATATGAAACATTTGATCCGGTTTCAACTGGTTTTATATTTATATGATCTCATATGAGCGTCAGTAAATGTAGCAACAGTTGAACACAATGAAAACAACACAAACATCAGTCATACACAAGCTTTTAGTCACTTACTGTGTTTGCTGTCTCACTTTGTGTCAGTTCTCATGTGAACAGAGCGACTGTGTCTCTGCACAGCAACCAATGGGACTGCTGAGGACACAAACCACCATTTTATCTCCTGTCTGTCTTCTCTTCTCTTAACCAGCAACAATATCTGATGCAAACTGACTGTTTCAACACTAAATGTTAGTGAGGAGGAAAAACTGCTTTATAACTCAATTCAACTGGACAGCTTTACCAAACCATCATTTTCAACCATTTCTAATCTGTGTCACAGTAGAAAGAAACACATGTTGAACCAACAGTACATGAACCCTGAACACAACTCAAACACTGCTGACTATCAATCTAATGATTAGTTAACAGTTGAATAGCAGCGAGCTGTCAGATGAGGAAGAAGATGATCATATTTATTCTTCGGTTTTATTCTTAAAAGTAATAAAATACTCAGAAAAGATTGACAACAATGCTAGGTGAGTTTATTTGGAGGAAGTTATTTCAGCTTCATGACCACAGAGAATAAAACGATCTGTAGTCTTTACTTCACATTGAAACTATAAATTCTGATTCTGTTTTATAACAATAAATGTGTTTATTCTTTAATAGAAATTTCAAGTTAACACCCTGATCCCCCTCAAACTCACAGAGACTGAACAGTCACCTTACAGACAGAGAAAGAGATAAAAACACATGAGACAGAACTGATCTTAACAGAACACACAGTTATTAAACCTAAAACACACTCAGATTTAATTTAACTGACTGACTTTGGGTAAACTGGAAAACCTAATGATGAAACAAAACCCACACGATGCATATCTGTATGTGGAACCAATCAGAGAGGGGGAGTCACACTGACAGTGTATATACAGTGTAGATACATATAACGGAACCAAAAGCACTCAGAGCTTGTTTCTTGAGAAGAATGCAGACATCATGGATCATACTTTAATTTCACCTTGCTGTTGGACTGAAGACAAACACGGTCAGTAATGAATCCTATATTGATGTTGGTGTTAATCAGGAGTTAACTTCAGTTGTAAAGGTTGAGTCTGTATATTTAAATAGAACAGCAGGAACAGCTGCACGTTTAATACCAACAAACTGTTTCCAGCTTATATTATCGCTCCCTGTTCTTCTACATAGTTCAAGGGGAAAAAGTATATATATATATATATATATATATATATATGATTCTTATATTGTAAGATCTGACAACAGCATCATTGTTGTGTTTATCTGTTGTTTTGTCATTCCTTTATATGTTGGCAGTATTTATATTGTAGCCTTATTAAACATGTTTATTCCTTAAAACAACTCAAATAAAATCAATCAATTTTATTCTTTAAGGTAATAAAAGCTCATCAAAAACACTGACAGTGTTGTGCTGCGACTGTTTGAAACAGGAAACAGTGAACCGTCAGTAAACCACGGAACGGAAGCTGCTGCTGTGTAAAGTTCCACATTCATTGTGGTCTGTACAACCAGCAGCCTGTTCACCATTAGTTGGTGCTGTTGTTGCTTCCTTGTCTGTCCACGTACTTTCAGCACATGGTGTTTTTATTGCAACACAGCTCAGTGAACTACAGAAGATAACAATATAAGTAATTTGAGATCTCGAGATAATGAGTGTGATATGATAACTGCGGTCAAGCCAGCCGTTACTCCGATCTGCGTGGTCAAATCAGACGCACTTAAATTTCGAGTGTTATATATATATAACACTCAAAATTTATATAGGCATATATATATATATATATAACGTTATATAAAAGTGTTATATTCTTCCCTTTAGGGCTTCCGTAGTGAACACCTCCATCCTCATGTTGTCATGTTTCCTGCTTATAGTGGAGAGTTAACTACTGGCGCCATCTTGTGACAAAAATACATTACTGCAGTTTGTCACCAGCATCAACACTGTACCTAGACTATAAATACAAAGCAGTATTGTAATGACTACAGACAGACTGTAGATGTTTGTTCTGGTACATGTGAGGACTGAACTTTGACCTCATGTGTTTATGACTCTTCACCGCTGTCTCCTCTCACAGGGAGAAGATGATCTGCTGGATCCTGCTGCTCATCAACCTGACCTCCTGTGTCTGTGGTTAGTTTCCACCTTCACTTTATTATCCATGAAGAGAAAAGTCCAAATACACTTTCAGACTTCCATCTTTCAATCTGTAGGGAGGAAGGCCTCTACAGCACTGAGAGCATCACTAAACTGTCCACAGAAACATCTCTAGATGGAGTTTAAAGGCTCACATGTTAAAGTTGTCACTTTGTCTGGTCCTCACTTTCCCTCTCTGTCTCCTCAACAGGAACATTTGTAGTGAATGTGACACAGACCTCCTATCAGGCAGAGGAGAACCATAACATCACACTGGAATGGACGTTCACAACCAACACTGACAGTTCCCTCAACTTCCTTTTTATCTACTGTAGACTGATTACTGATCACATGGTTTCAGTCCTCTATGATCTAAGGGATGGTGTCGAGATCACAGAGTTTCAGGATGAACAGTTTAAAGGACGAGTCCAGTGTGACAAAGACGTCCTCAGAGAAGGACGAATCAGACTTCATGTGTCCAGACTCAGGACTGAAGACTCGGGCCTGTACCTGTGTGAAGTGAGAACAAATTATGGTTTGAGCTCTGACAGATGTCGACTCAGTGTCACTGGTAAGTTGATTTTATAGAACTCAGTTAGTAAAAGAGGACTCAGAGTCTAAGACTACTAGTTTGGTGTGTTAGCATGCTAACATGAGCTAATTAGCACTAAACACAAACTAATAGTTGAGCTGAGTTACTTTAGTGTTAAGTTAAATTCCTCCTGAGGGGGACACGGATGGACAGACTGATATTTCCATCCACAGAGCTGCTGCCAGCGGCTGAAACTGTCCATCATAACGACCTGGAGCCATGAACCAGGAAACAGAGAAAATCAGCAAATCCTCACATTGGAGAAGCTGTAACTAGATAATGTTTGCTGTTTAACCACATTTTATATAATGTCCTTTACAGCAGCTGCTGATGGGCCCAAACCTCAGAAACCAACAGAGAGTCCACAAGCAGAGAGTCCACAAGCAGAAAGTCCACAACCAGAGAGTCCACAACCAGAGAGTCCACAACCAGAGAGTCCGGGAATGATAATCCTCTATGTTGTACTGGGACTGGCAGCAGCAGTTCTACTGGCTGTCTGTTGTTGTTACTTTAGACGAAACGAGAAACAACCCATTAGGACTAACAGATGATGTTGAGAAAGGAAACGTCTATGCAGTTGTATAAATGTTGAGTTTTAAGTGTCAGAAAACTATTTGTAATATGAAATGTATATTTGTCTGTTAAATGGTGTTCATGTTACTAAAGGTTTAAGTTTAAATGAAGTTATGTAATAATGTAATGTCATAAATGAAGTAATGTTAATGATGCTTCCACTGTGATCCCAGATGTTCCATGTTTGATGTCAGACAGTTAACATCAGAAGTAGAGCAAAGACATCTAAACAGCCATCGTCTGATTGATCCTCCACTGTAAGCTCTCTACAATGTCCCAGTTGTTTGAGTTGTCAGTGTATGAAGAGTTTCTCAGAGGAATCATTCACATTGAGCTGTAAGTTGGTTCAGTCATTGATCGCTCTGTTCTCCCTCCAGCTGTTATCAATCATCAGTCTTAAACAATGAGTCTGAATCAACAAGACAACAGAATTAGAAGAGAATTGTTCATTATTATATCTTAATCCTCCTGATGGATATTGTTACAATGCACTGACTTTGTGCTCTTTATAACGTGTACATATTGTAAATAAATCTCTCTTTATATGAGAGAAGTTGTTATGAATCTTCTGTGAATATGTTCAATAAAGTGCACACAGTGCAGATCTCAGATCTGTCTAATAAGTGATAGAGTTTGATGAGGCGTCCTATCAAAATAAAGGACAGCGTAAAGGTGAACAACAGTGCATTATTTGTGTGTATCAGTTGTGTACTATGACTCTTATACCATGGCCACTTACTGAAGAATATAAAGGCAGGATGGGTTTTAATCTTTAGCAGCTTTTAACATCAGATATTGTTGCTGGTTAAGGGAAGACAGACAGGAGACACAATGGTGGTTTGTCTTTATTTCACTTTCATTTTGACGTTCAACAAAATGGATTCAGCCCCTCCTCCAGTCAGGAGTTGGGCTGGTGACATCATAAACCAGTTTTTCCTCATACTCATTAGTGTTGTGTTGCTTCTTGCTCGCCTACAAACGCGCAAGTAACTAAAACCTTCTGTATGTTTGAAGTTTGTGTTTCATATTCTGTTCTTTATTGAACTACTTTCATCTTCAGCTGGAAACCTCCTCCAGGATCTGATCTTCACATTTATTACAGTTTTCCAGGAGTTGATCAGTGACAGGACAATGTGCACAAATTCAGCAGCGAGAAATAAAAAGGCTTTTCCTTTACTGCTGTACTCTTCCTACTGAGTTATTTAGTTCCTACTTAAGATTTAGTTGATGTTTGGATAGATGACACAGTTACTGTTTGCATAGTTCCTCTGTGTTGAGTTCAAGCCCACAACAAGGAAATGAAACAGTGAAGATTGTGTCCCTTTAAATATTCAACAAAAATATGGTGTTTTCTCTTTGTTCTTCTTTGTTTCAGCAAATTTTCATTAGTTACTTTTTCTTTTGATCTGAACCATTAACAACAGTTTTTCCTTTACATATCATTATCTGACTGATGCAATGTCAGCACAAACACATGAACAGGTAGGACTTTGTTTTAAAGCTGAGGCTACTGCAGTAAATGTACACTGAGATTATATGAAACAAGACTCTGCACTCTGATGTTACACTAATAAAGTTCTTCTTCCTCTAATAAACCTGTCTCCTCTCTGACAGGGAGAAGATGATCTGGATCCTTCTGCTCGTCGGCCTGACCTCCTCTGTCTGTGGTTAGTAGGACTGAAACCAACAATTCATTTCATTAACGATTAATCTGCTGATCATTTCTTCCATTAATCCAATCAAACTGTTTATGAATGTAAAGAAAGTTGTGAAAAGTCTCCCATAAAGACTTCCAGAGGCCAAAGTGACGTCCTTAAACTGCTTGTTTAGTTCAACCAACAGTTAAAAACCAAACATTATTTCATTCATTATTTCAGAAGCTGGAAGCAGCAAAAATGACAATTAATGGAATATTAGAATATATTTAAATGGATGAATCAAACACTAGTAGCTCTCGTGGTTAGTTTGATGTTTCAGACTCAGAACATTTGACTCCTGGTGACCATGATAAAGACACACTGTACAATCTCAATGTAAAGCCCTGCATTAGATCACAATAACACTCAAGTGGCTCATCATTTTCACTGCTTAGATAAAACAATCAGAGCCTCTTCTGACACATTGAACTGTAAAATCATTTGCCATAAGCAGTCAGTTCCTTGATAGAAGTGTTTCAAGCTGAAATAACGTGAAGATCGAAGATAATTATACAAATAAAAATGTCAAAATGAAGTCAGTGTCACCTAAAATTACTAAAGCTACTTGATCAAGAATGTTTGTTTAACTTACAAAATTGAGTTCATTTTACTTATCTGGGTTCACAGTGTAGCCTAATCAACCAACATACATTTCATTCTACCAATTATACATTTTATGGTAATTAAAAATACCTTTATCTGTAGAGGGAAAGCTAATTCTATTAACTCAATCTTGAACATTTGTTGAACATAAATTCATTAGAAGTTGCCATAACTTTAAAAAGATGATGAATCTAACAGCCTCCTGATTGACACCCACAGAACATTTTATCTCAAATGTGACCTCTGGTTTCCCTTTAATTTGATTTGTTTAGAAAATCTTTGAGGAACTCTGGATCCATCAAATTGTACATTTTCATTTATTAAACTGATTTACTGAAACACACAAGAAACATTTTCAATGTCTGACAAATAATGTTTGAAATGATTCATATGAATATTAAACAGTCAGTTACATTTCAAGGAGTCACAGCTGTAACCTGCAGCCAGCTGAGGAGTAACAGTAACAGTACACTTCAGTTTAAATTGCACTGTCAAGTTAAAGCTGAATATAAATTCTGAACAGAAAGTCCAAACTGCAGTTTTACAGTTTTCATGATGTTAGACAATAAACAATCATCAGCAGATCACTGTGGATCAACTAACATAATGCACAACTGTAACAACACTGTTTTTATCATTTGTTCTCATTATAAACAAAAGCAACACTTCCTGTGTACCACTACAGTTTAATGCCAGTGAACATAACACATCACAACAGGCAGACCTGAAGGATGAACCTGAACACTTCATTACATCCTGCAGGAGTCAGCTACATGATCAAATACAATATAAATATTATAAAAAGATAATAGAATATCAATATAAATTCCTCACATTGAGCTTTAAGTGCAAATGTTAAAAAACAACAGAGATTTCACAGATATGAGGTAGACGTGTTTAACTGCATTAGTTCAATAAAGTGCACACAGTGCAGATCTCAGATCTGTCTAATAATTGAAAGATTTTTATGAGGCGTTGTTGTTCTGTTGTTCTTCTACTGGTTAAATGAACCCTTTTTGGATTGAAATTCCAGTATTGCTGATTGATGTGAAATGTATCAATACTGCTGCTCCAGTGAGGGAAAGTTTGAAAGATTTCAAATCTCCATATAGTGCAAGATTTAGCTGGCAGTAATAGGCTTCATCAGCATTGTGGGAACTCATTTGGCAACGGCTTGAATGCAACAAATGTTCCTTAATATATAATATTCTTTGTTGATCAAATTGTTTCCTTTGATCCAGATGCTAAGCTGTGGGTTTTCTAACAACCACCACTGGAATAAAAATCTTGTTCTCTAAACAGACAGTGAATGAATAAAAGGCAACAAACAACCAGCAGAGCTGCTGCTGTCAGTCCCAGTCCACAGTAGAAGCCTATCCTTCCCCGACTTGGTGATTTTTGTCTTTCAGGTTCTGACCAATCCCTTGCTGCTGTAAATAGAACAAACAAATCTGTGTTATAAATAAACAAATATTATTTCACTAAAAAGGAAAACTAAATATCCACAGCACATTAGGTTGTAACATATTTCCCAGATACTGCGAGAAGGAGAAGAAGTCCACAATACTTTTCTTCTCAGCTTCTAATTTATCCACAAAAACTGCTGAATGGAAACTGTTAAGAAAGTTCTACTGAACCAACTCACCAGTGACGTTGAGTCGACATTTACCCAAACTGCCACCATGATTTGGGTTCACTTCACACAGGTACAGGCCCGAGTCTTCAGTCGTGAGTCTGGACACATGAAGTCTGATTCGTCCTTCTCTGAGGACGTCTTTGTCACACTGGACTCGTCCTGCAAACTGTTCATCCTGAGACTCTGGGACCTCCACTCCTTCATGTAGATCATAGAGGACTGACACCTTGTTTTCAGTAATCAGTTCACAGTAGATAGAAAGAGAGTTGAGGGAACTGTCAGTGTTGGTTGTGAACGTCCATTCCAGTGTGATGTTATGGTTCTCCTCTGCCTGATAGGAGGTCTGTGTCACATTCACTACAAATGTTCCTGTTGAGGAGACAGAGAGGGAAAGTGAGGAACAGACAAAGTGACAACTTTAACATGTGAGCCTTTAAACTCCATCTAGAGATGTTTCTGTGGACAGTTTAGTGATGCTCTCAGTGCTGTAGAGGCCTTCCTCCTTACAGATTGAAAGATGGAAGTCTGAAAGTGTATTTGGACTTTTCTCTTCATGGATAATAAAGTGAAGGTGGAAACTAACCACAGACACAGGAGGTCAGGTTGATGAGCAGCAGGATCCAGCAGATCATCTTCTCCCTGTGAGAGGAGACAGCGGTGAAGAGTCATAAACACATACAGTGATTTATATCTTTTATATGATGACACCAGAGGTTAAACTCTGCACCATCAGCAGGAAACATGGAGCTGAAGAGGACATTGAGAGTTCAATCCAACATCTTTGATGGTTACTCAGTAAAACAATCATCAGATGAAGTTTGATTAAATGTGTTTGTGTGAATCCACAAATAAAAAATGAAACAACAGTTTCATATATAATAAAAACACCATGTGCTAAAAGTACGTGGACAGACAAGGAAGCAACAACAGCACCAACTAATGGTGAACAGTCTGATGGTTGTATCACATGATCATGATTTGTTGAGGAACTGACTGCAGATCACAATGGTTGGTTCAGCTCAACATGGTTCAAATGATCATAAATAAATAACATAATCAAAATATATTGCAATGTGCAAAACAGCAGCATCCAACAGTTTACGGTGTCTGTGAACCAGTAGGTGAGGAGTCGGGGGACTTTCAGTATTAGTGTCTTTATTCTTGCTTGAACGATAAACAAGCGTCCAGTCACTAGGTGGCAGCAGTGCTCAAACTAATCAACAGGCGGCCTGTTGTAGAAGAAGTACACAGGAACACTGGTGTACAGAGCTGAAGGAGGAGGAGAGATAGAGGTTTGGGTGACAGAAAATAACTGAGACCCACAGCTGTGAACTAACCACCATCAACTATCTAAGTGTGCTTCAGTTTAAAGGGATTGATCTGGTTTCTTCTCTGTTATTATCCCTTTAATATCCTGTATTCTGCCCTGAAGTGTGGAGATCATCATACCATCCTGTCTTGTATTACTTCACAAAATAATAAAACAAATGAATAAAAACGGCTCGCGGACTAGAATATGTTGTCAGTGTGTTTGATGAGCTTTTTATTACCTTTAAGAATAAAACTGATTTCTTTTAGTTCAATCTGACAACTCATGTTTGAAATGTTTATTACAGCAGTGTAACATATTAGATAGATTTTGCCGTCTAGACTCTGACCTCATCACTCCCCACAGATAAAGTTATATAGAGATATTGGGGAGTGATGAGCAAATACCTTAACCCCAGTCGGAGCCTACAGGTGGATGCTGGGTAGTGGGGGGGCTTACAGAGCAGCAGCAGCAATATGGATGCAGGGCAACAGAGTCATTGACAGGGCAGAGGGAGAGCTGGGAAATGCAACAGGTCGCACAGGTCGAGTTGACTGACTGATAGCTATGGTGGGTAGGGTGGCCATTCGTCCGGCTTTAGTCCGGACAGTCCGGCTTTTAAACGCCCTGTCCGGCTGCAGGTGCAGTCTTAAGCCGGACACTCATTTGTCCTCCTTTTGAGAAAATAACTAAAAAGGTCGCCTTCTGACACATTACCTGTTAGTTTAATACTTATTGGCTAAAAATGTGGGTCAAAATAAGTCATTTCATTGGTTACATTTTCGTGTTGTGACCTATCAACACATGGCTCATTTAAATATTCAAATGAGCCATGTGTTGATTGGCCAGGCGATCACCGCAGTTGCTAAGTTACCACCAGGCTGTCAATCAAACTCTCAGCCACAGAGAACATAATGTGAGCTACTGTCGGTTGTTGGACTGAAATTCTGAAAATGCTCACACTCATATGTAGATAGGTAAAGCCTTTACATCTGAAACAGAAGGTGCTGCATTTGTTTTACCCTTTATCTATCCAGATAAAAACATTAACAGTTTCTGTATGATGTTTATTGGACCTGTTTATTATTAGCTATGTGGTATGTGTATGCACCTTTATGTAATCTGGTGGAAAAACATTAACATTTAAAACCGGATCATACCAAACAAATATCTGCTTGTGTGTCCCCGTGTATACAAAGTGTCCTCCTTTTGATGTGAAGGAAATGGCCACACTACTGATAGCTCGCAGGAGTCACTCCATTTGTTTTAAGGAATAAACATAAATACTGCCAGCATGTAAAGGAATGACAAAACTGTAAATAAACACAAACAACGATGCTGTTGTCAGATCTTACAATATAAGAATCAGAATATATATATATATATATATATATATATATATATAGATAGAGATAGTTTTCCCCTTGAACTATGTAGAAGAACAGGGAGCGATAATAGAAGCTGGAAACAGTTTGTTGGTATTAAACGTGCAGCTGTTCCTGCTGTTCTATTCAAATATACAGACTCAACCTTTACAACTGAAGTGAACTCCTGATTAACACCAACATCAATATAGATTCATTACTCACCTGGTTGGCTGCACTTCATACAAACGGGAGAGGGTCGACTGTGGCTCAGAGGTACAGTGGGTCGCTCATTATTCGGAAAGGTTGGTGGTTCGATCCTCCAAAACGTTCTAATGGTTCATATCAAGCGTAAGTCAGTCTGCGAGCCCTTCCCACGGTGCAGCAAGTTTTCACCCAATCCCAGAGTTTCAATATACACTCACTGGGCGGAACAACGCGTTCATAAAGACCGATGAATTTTTCAGATTCGCTGAATCATCATGACTGATTCGACTGATGATTGAGAACAGCTGGAGGGAGAACAGAGCGATCAATGACTGACATTACATCATTACATATTACCGTTGCAAATGCATGTTTCAGCCTGTGAGCCCTTCGCAATGTGCATGCAACACTGACAACAATGAAGTGGGTTGGGAGTCTCCACCTTTGATTGGAGAGTTGCTCAGAAGAAGGAGAGGGGTAAACAGGGACACACCCACACACACACACACACACAGGGGGACGGGCATACAGGCACACACAGGGACACACCCACACACACACACGGGGACGGGCATACAGGCACACACAGGGACACACCCACACACACACAGGGGGACGGGCATACAGGGACACACAGGGACACACCCACACACACACACGGGGACGGGCATACAGGCACACACAGGGACACACCCACACACACACAGGGGGACGGGCATACAGGGACACACAGGGACACACCCACACACACAGGGGGACGGGCATACAGGCACACACAGGGACACACCCACACACACACGGGGACGGGCATACAGGCACACACAGGGACACACCCACACACACACAGGGGGACGGGCATACAGGGACACACAGGGACACACCCACACACACACACAGGGGGACGGACACACAGGGACACGGACACACAGGGGCACGGACACACAGGGGCACGGACACACAGGGGGACGGACACACAGGGGGACGGACACACAGGGGGACGGACACACAGGGGGACGGACACACACACACACACGATTATTCTGATTTCGATTTTAAGAGTTATGAGAAATAAATCAGATTTAAACTAACTGACCCCACCCAGGTTACAATGCGGACCGATACCCAGAATAGAATTATACCAGCCCTAGACACCAACCATCTGAGCGTTGACACAATTTTTAAAGGGTTCAAGAAAAGCGGGAGACGTGCATTCAGCTCTCCAATAATATTTATTAAAAATAAATTATACTGGCAAAAGACCTGAAAAAGAAAAGAGAAACCATAAAACTAGTCAAAATTAGTTTATTCCACAATACTAAAATGGTCGAAACAACCAGTATATAAATAGCAAATGGCTTCACCATAACATAAAATACAATAAGATTAAATGATCGCGAGGAATAGGCAGGACAGGGTACTCACCGCGGGGAGACTATCACCCAATCAAAATCACCGTGTGTGCACACTGATCACTACAAACACTACAACTTGCACTGCAAGGAAAGTCAAACCTACAACCCAATGACGTGACCACTACCCTTCAAATATACCACACTGCATGCAAGGAGGGGTGCCTATCCCACGACTACTCCCCGCAGGTCGTCCCACTGCCTAATCAAACAAAAGACGGAAAATACAATGAGATTCAGTTGGTTCAGATTCACAGACACTCAGGGTCACTACACCCAATATAAAAAGACAATATTCAACCATCTACAGATTATGTAAGTTGTACAGTCTGTAACACATTCGCCAACCACCTTGGCGAACTGGCTCAGGCAAAGCAGCAGTCTGGCCTTAAATCTGCAATAAGGGGAAAGAAAACATAACAAAAGTCAGTCTCATCAGCTGACAACAACATACCTCAGAGGGCATGACCCTCCTACCTTACCATACTGGTTTCAGTTACCTTGTACATGTGGGGCTCTGCTAAGAAGCAATGCAACAGTTGAAAAGCTCTACTCTGGCTTAAAAGGGGAGATGGAGGAGCTGAGTCTTTGCCTAAAGAGATTTTATCATATTAGTGATATAGCTACGGTTTAATGAAGCCCCAAAGTTCACTGAGACATACCTCTTCAGCACAGGGCTACAGAGCATGCTCCATCTGGATCACTCAGGACAGTCACCACCACTAAATATACAAAAGATCTCATTAGATTTCTAATAAGGCAATATAACATTTTCCTCCTCCTCTCTCCCTTACCTGCACGACACAGCAATCCTGCCACACAACCAGGCCTCAGACAAAGAGGCACTAATTGCCCTCACCTGTCCTTATGAAGGCGGGGAGCTCCCTCTGACTCTACCTAACAGGGCGGTGCTTTGGATTTACAGGCCAGCCCCTCACATCACATTTAGTGTTGAAACAGACAGTTAACATATTGTTGCTGGTTGAGGGAACACAGACAGGAGACACAATGGCGGTTTGTTCTTTATTTTACTTTCATTCAGACTCCCTCCCTCCTTCAGTTCACTTCTTTCTGATGATGGCTGTACAATCGAGTAATCGAGGCTGGGGGCTGTGGCTCAGAGGTACAGTGGGTCTGCATACCAAACCACGTTTACTAATCGTAAGATTTGCGTTCGATCCTACAAATCCCACATTGCTCACATTGCTTGGGTGTACGAACGCGGCGGAGGAGTTTGTGTAGCAGAACGACAGAACTCATTCACTGCTGTGTTCATTGCTTTTGAGCTGGTGGATAAGATGGTTCAGATATCAAAGATATCTTTCGGTTATTGCCCCTCTAAACAGAATCTGGGGGACAATCAGATTTCAGCAAGAGTTTTTCTTCATACAGTGACAACTGAAACCACTGGGACATTTTACAACCTGAAGAAATATTTAAGATATTTATGAAAAGGCTCTGGTCAGTCTTTGTGATGATGGCTGTACAGTCTAGAATTTGAGAACATTACGATTTATCACGAATGTTCATGTGCTGAATGAGAACTATTGCTACTACTACTCCACCTCTACTTAACACTCCCTCAGTGACTCAGTGTACATTTACTGTGTCCTTTCTACACAGAGAGGGGAAAGTAACTATGCCCCCCTCTGGTAGCATTCTCTCTGCCTCATGCAGGCTGTTTCTCACTCACTGAGTGACTGAGTGAGTGAGACTGCTAAGTAGAGGTGGAGAAATCCCGAAGGTTACAGAACCATCTCTGCCATCAGGTTAACATTTATAAATATGATCTCTCTACAGGACGTTGGTGGCCAGCAGCTTAAACTGCAGCAGGGGGAATTCACTGTATCAAACTACATAGTTTTACTATTAGAGTTCTGTTGATATCTAACCTACACACTGCTCTTTACTTCATGTGGACATGAAAATATATATATATATATATAAAATATATACAGTGTGTGTGTATATATATATATATATATATATATATGTATATATATATGGGTTTCAGATTAAAAGCTTTCTCGCATTTCTGTGGATTAGGTTGTTCTTGTATTGTATTTATCAAACTCAGTGTATAAAGATGGAGGACGTGTGTGGCCATGTTGGTAAAGACATGGTCAAGCATGTCATATTTGTACATGATGAACAACCATGTGTGTAATGTATGCAACTTCAGAAAGTCCTTAAATGCATATTTCCTCCAAGAACCTGAATGACTATTCCAGATTGACCAGAGCATGCAGCACACATTCTCAATCATATTTCATAAAGTGGGGCAAGGAACAGAAATACCAAAAACACATTTTCATCACTTGAATGCATATTTAGTTCCTCAATATAATGTTATAACATTGTCTTTCATTTATGACAGATTTATATCCTCAACATTAATCTGGTCAGAATCCTAAAACACTGAAAAGTGTCCTTGGCTCCAGTCCTGCTGACTGGATTTAGTTAGAACAGGAAATAGACACACAGGAGTTTAGGTGTCCCACCTCAGATGATAATGCATTCAAAAAATGTTTTTTAAAGAAATGGGATGCCACAGGAGTCTCTTCTTGGGTCTTTGCTGTTTATTTTGTACATCAATAACAGCAGTTCAGCAGTTAAACCCTGTGTATCACAGTGCATTACTCTTTATCACTAATGACTAATCTTGCACCCATCACTGTTCTCTGTATCAAAGAGTTGGATGGACTTACTGTCAACTAGAAATATCCATCCCATGTTATTCATTTATAAAGCTCTACTGTTCTAAAGCTTCCAAACTACCTTACATCTCTACTGTCATTATAACGATCCAGTAACTACCTAACCTTCCACATCCCTCGTTAGCACTAATAATGTCACATCTGGTTTCTTGTCCTTATAAACTATATAAACAGTTTAAAACTAAATGGTAACGCTGAAATGATATCAGACCTGATCAAATGAATTTGTATTTCACAATATATATCCATCATTATTTCTTCCAGACATTGATCTGAATACTGTACATAGCCTGTAGCTCCATTAGAGGACCTCCTACTTTTGAGTGTTTTTTAATACATATAAATAATATTCTGTTCTTTTTTACTGAGTAACCATCAAAGATGTTGGATTTAACTCTCCATGTCCTCTTTAGCCAGCAGCAACACAGCAAACTGACATATGGACATCACAAACAAGTATTTTTGAAATACTCACACTGAGTCTGTATCATTGTTGCATAGTAATGAAAAAGGACACATTTCCATATATAAATATATAAAAGCAACCAGATCACATTATTATAGAAATCATTGCTTTTTAGATATTTTTTGATGTTTCCTCAGATTATAGATACAGTTTTTTGTGATTATTTTAGGCACTGGTAATGCATTTTATCTTGACTATGTAGCGAGTCATAATTTGTTTGCATAATGGCATCAGCACAATGTAATCCATTTGGTGTCCACATATACATTGCTATTCATCATGTTAGCTTGTGACGACGTTGCCTTTCCAGTCTAATGAAACCTATTTGGGAGCAGTCCAGTGTGAGACTTGTTCAAGTCTCTGCAAGTTGTATCAAGTCGGGTCAGTGAGACGTAGAAAAACACTTACATCAAAAAGAAGACAAACTCACTATATACATATTTGTCTCTGGTAGCTAGAAACCCACTTGTTATAAAGCTGTTACTGTGAGGATGAATCCAAGCATCCATGGACAGGGAAGAGGATAATTAACTGTAACTTTACCTTCATTTTAGTGCTTCATTCTAGCAGTTTGAACCCAGACTGTAAAAAGTGAAATAGGATCCCAAAATAAGCTCAGTGTCAATGCTGCCAAATGTCCACTCACATCTGGAGTGGGTCAGGATGGGGACTATCTCAATCGGGAGCACGATGTAACGTCCATCCTGGTCTTGAGCTGTATGGTTGACATGAGACAACAGGAAGTGTAGGTGAACAATGGGCACAAATAAATCAGAACAAGTTCCATTAAAACAAATAATAAAGCAGACATACGTTGTTGTCCTCGGTCTTCACAAGCACATGCTGTCAGAAATGTCCAAGTTGCCAAGATTACAGCAACAAAAACCAAAGCTACTATTAATAGTGGAGCTATGACTTCATGTTTTGGGCTTCCTGGTGGCTGTCCTGCACCTGCATGAAGACACAACACCAGTGTGTTATACTGTATGTGACATCAGGAGGAGCATTATCACAGCAAGAACGTCTGCACAAATACAGAAAGCTTCAACCACTAAGGAAAGGTATGTTCCCAGATAATTTGAGTACAACATTAAAGTAAAACTGGGAGAAATTATGGACCAAACTAGAGAAATGTTTTGCCTTGTATTCAGATTTATGCATCAAAATTAAAAGGTAAATGTCGTGCAATATTTGTACAGTGATACTTAATGAGTAACCATGGTAAAAGCTTATCATGCTGACCTTTAGTTGCTGCCACTTGAGACTTTGATGAGTTGAGAGACACATCACTGCTCTCTCCATCATTGGTCTGGGCCGCATTTAGTACAAAATGTTCTATGGGGTCAAATGTGTATTAGTATGACAGTAACACTTCCATTGTACAGTGCTGCAGTGCACAGAGCATTTCTGCTTTTCATTTCAAATAAACAACTTAAAGAGCTTACCAGTGGTCTCTAGCCCCCCATCTTCTCCTGATCTTGTCATAATTAGCAGCCAGATCACACCAGTAACGTCCAGAGTCATCAGTCGTGACTCTGGACACATGAAGTCTGACTCGTCCTCCTCTGAGGACGTCTTTGTCACACTGCACCCGTCGTGCAAACTGCTGATGCTGAGACTCTGAGGACTCCACACCGTCAACCATTTCATAGAAAAGCTTCAGAGGCTCTGACTGGAAGAAACAACTCAGGATGGTGAGGGACATGATGGGACTGTCCCATCCGATGGTGATGTTATCGTCCTCCTCTACCTGATAGAAGGTCGGACTCTTTTTCAAGACAAACATCCCTGTAGACGAGAGAGAGGGCAAAGAGAGGCACAATAGAGACGTTATGTAGAGTCAGACATCGATCTTCACCTCATTTCTGTCAGATGTACTGAGACTTATACATAAACTAACCACTAGAGCTAGTGTTTGATTCATCCATTGAAATAGAAATTATATTACATTAATTGTCATTTTCAGTGAAACAAAACCAAATATTTGCTGCTTCCAGCTTCTAATATATGCAGGTTTGCTGTTTGTCTTTTTAATATATGACAGTGAATGAAATAATGTTTGATTTTTAACTGTTGGTTGAACTAAACAAGCAGTTTAAGGACGTCACTTTGGCCTCTGGAAGTCTTTATGGGAGATTTTTCACAACTTTCTTTACATTCATAAACAGTTTGATTGGATTAATGTAGGAAATAATCAGCAGATTAATGGTTAATGAAATGAATTGTTAGTTTCAGTCCTACTAACCACAGACAGAGGAGGTCAGGCCGACGAGCAGAAGGATCCAGATCATCTTCTCCCTGTCAGAGAGGAGACAGGTTTATTAGAGGAAGAAGAACTTTATTAAAACAGGACAGATTGGTTGATCACTCAGCACGAAGAAGATCTTCCTTTAAGGTCTGTAATGTTTATAAATCAGTCAGAAATAAAATGAAAGGTCACAAAGGAGCATTTCGGTGAAAAATCTAGTGTTGTAGTCAAGACCGCACCAACCAAGACCAAGACATTACCGAAACAATACCAAGACTTTTAGAGGTTGAGACCGAGACAAGACCAAGACCATAAGGAGAATCGTAAAACATAAAAATAATTCCCCCTAGCTGCAGCCAATGGTTTGAAGTTATTAGCTGTTTTTGAGAGGGTCCTTTTTCACTCTTATCAGTCAGGCATGGACAAAAAGCCTATCAGCGGTGGTCAGGGGCGGACTGGGACAAAAATTCAGGCCGGGAGTTTGATACTGTCCCAGGCCACCACCACCCGATTAATGCAAAACACCAAGAGTGAGTTAGGTTGGGTGCCTACTGATGTAAGAGTGTAAAATTATAAAGCAAAGGCTCCACATGCACCCACACAGCTTTCTGTTTCTTTCCCTACAAAATAAATGTTTCTGTTGTGCTGCAATAACCTGAACTCAAATCCCATAAACTGAAATGATGTTCCTGCTCTGACTCTTCACTGCTGCTGTCCACCACTGCCATGACAGCAGGAGCTCTTGCAGCACTAGTACTGCTCACCGTGCTGACACTGCTCCCTTCTCCACCTTTGTAAAGAAAAATCCAAAAGCCACCCATCATTCCTCAGCTATTCAAATTCACTGATTGACCATTTTTATATGCATTGTCTATGTTCATATAACAACCAATAATGTTCTTAATCTCAATGGGATTCTACCTGGTTAAATAAAAGTTAAATGAAATAATATAATACACAGATTTCAATATTCATATAATGTATTATGTTGTGTCTATGTTAGGTAACCATATTCTAAAATTTGTAATATCCTTTGTTACAACTTAAAGCATTTGTTTTATTAAGTCAGTTTGTGTTAGTCAAAGTGGAACCAACCTCCTCATGAAGCTGGTGGTGCTGGATAGGCTCTGGTTGTGTGTCTGTTGTCTCCACTAGTGTTTAATCTCGAGTACTACAACACTAATGAAATCACACTTGTCTTTGTTGTATAACTGGAGTCTGTTTGGTTTGCTTTAAAGAATCATTTCATCCTTCAGATAATATTAAACTACACATGTGGTTATAAATACAGAAGTTTTATTAAAGTCAGTGTTCTGTTGTTTTTTCAGTAGTGATCACGTGATGGTGGACTGTGTTTCTCTACGGATGTGTGGATGCCTTCTGTTTTTTTCTACTGCTGGTAGTTTTTCTCAGAAAATGCAGCGCAAATGCTGGGCGTGTCCATCACAAGGGCTGCATATAAGGCTCGGACCGCCTACCATCAGTTTAGTGAGCGACCCACTCTACCGCTGATCCACAGTCGACCCTCTCCCGTTTGTACGACCTGCAGCCAACCAGGTGAGTAATGAATCTATATTGATGTTGGTGTTAATCAGGAGTTCACTTCAGTTGTAAAGGTTGAGTCTGTATATTTGAATAGAACAGCAGGAACAGCTGCACGTTTAATACCAACAAACTGTTTCCAGCTTCTATTATCGCTCCTTGTTCTGTTTTATAGCCCATGTCATCTTTCTGTCTGTTGGTGACTGAAATGAACTAAAGCACACAGACACTGAAGAGTAGAGCTGTTAAGGCTGGGCAGCATGTGTAACTTCCTAAATCTGACTAGTTAATGAACTGTTAATATATGTTGACCTGCCCTTTTCAACCATCCAGTCTTCAATGTTACTAATTCTTTGATTTTGATGAACTCTCTATTTTGAAATGGCAACGTTTGATGTGTTCAGATTTGGACACACTGGGTCAACTTGTATGGGACACTGTTAGAGATGTGTGTACCCAGACGTTTGTTGTTCAGTGTGGTTGATCTGTCCATAATGCCATTTGTAGATTTATTTGCAGTTGTTTTGTCATTCCTTTATATGCTGGCAGTATTTATATTGTAGATTCATTAAACATGTTTATTCCTTAAAGTAACTAAAATAAAATCAATCAGTTTTATTCTTAAAGGTAATAAAAAGCTCATCAAAAACACTGACAACATATTCTGCTGTGACTGTGTGAGTCAGGAAACAGTGTTCAACATTTAACCCCCCAGGAACAGAGGCAGGGCTGCCCTGCTTGTAAAGAAAAGCTCCACCTTCTCATTCTGATCTACAGTCAGTTCCCCAGCACAATAATCACGTGATAAAACCAGCAGGTTGTTCACCACTAGTTGGTGCTGTTGTTGCTTCCTTGTCTGTCCACGTACTTTCAGCACATGGTGTTTTTATTATATATGAAACTGTTGTTTCATTTTTATTTGTGGATTCACACAAACACATTTAATCAAACTTCATCTGATGATTGTTTTACTGAGTAACCATCAAAGATGTTGGATTGAACTCTCAATGTCCTCTTCAGCTCCATGTTTCCTGCTGATGGTGCAGAGTTTAACCTCTGGTGTCATCATATAAAAGATATACATCACTATGTATGTGTTTATGACTCTTCACCGCTGTCTCCTCTCACAGGGAGAAGATGATCTGCTGGATCCTGCTGCTCATCAACCTGACCTCCTGTGTCTGTGGTTAGTTTCCACCTTCACTTTATTATCCATGAAGAGAAAAGTCCAAATACACTTTCAGACTTCCATCTTTCAATCTTTAAGGAGGAAGGCCTCTACAGCACTGAGAGCATCACTAAACTGTCCACAGAAACATCTCTAGATGGAGTTTAAAGGCTCACATGTTAAAGTTGTCACTTTGTCTGGTCCTCACTTTCCCTCTCTGTCTCCTCAACAGGAACATTTGTAGTGAATGTGACACAGACCTCCTATCAGGCAGAGGAGAACCATAACATCACACTGGAATGGACGTTCACAACCAACACTGACAGTTCCCTCAACTTCCTTTTTATCTACAGTGAACTGATTACTGATCACAAGGTTTCAGTCCTCTATAATCTAAGGGATGGTGTCGAGATCACAGAGTCTCAGGATGAACAGTTTAAAGGACGAGTCCAGTGTGAAAAAGACGTCCTCAGAGAAGGACGAATCAGACTTCATGTGTCCAGACTCAGGATTGAAGACTCGGGCCTGTACCTGTGTAAAGTATTCACAACTTATGGTGGCAACGTTGGTAAATGTCGACTCAGAGTCACTGGTGAGTTGGTTCATTAGAAGGTTTTTATCAGATTAATTTCAGTTTTTAATGAACAGAAAAGTGCTGCTGATATTCTACTGCAGTTATCAGTGTCTGGGCTGCTGAACTAGCCTCTATAGACACATCAACAGTTGATGACTCAGACAAACACGTCTGTCTGTTTAAGAACATACCTGCTACACATACGCCCTCATGAGGTTCCACACATAAGTTTGCAGTGTTTGAACTGTGTGACCTTAAAGGACCTGAGAGTAGGATTTAATGACATCACATCACATTGACGCCATCTGGTGGTAATAACAAGCAAAAACATACATCATCAAACTCACTTTAAAAAGCTACTATTCCTATTCTGCCATTTCTAAACTAATAAAAACTCCTTCAAGAGGCATGTTAGAAATATAATAACAGACAATGCTGTAAATGAATGAACATTCTTTAACTTTACTTTAATCTGTTGGTTATTTAGTTTTCTTCATTAGTAAAAATGTTTTCTGATCAAATGAATAACAGACACATATTTGTTTGATCTCTTTACAGCAGACAAACAACAACAGAGACAACCGCCACCAAACCAGGGAACAACTAGCTGCTGCTGTACATTAGCTCTGGCTGTAGTACTACTGTACTGCTTTACTTTTTATTTCCTGTAAACTCTCCACAACAACTGCACAAACACTACAGCCGTGCAGTGCTTTGAGCTAAATGAAGTTGACATTAAGATTGTTTTATTAAGTGATTAATATTTACATTTAAAGATGTAAAGCTTAATTATTATTGTGCCTTGCAAACTATACTTATTACTATTCTTCCGTACGTTTTTCGGCGCAGCTGCTGTGGCCTCCCCTGATTGCCATGACAACCAAAGCCTGCCTCACACACACACACACAGCTAGCTACAGAGAATGACAAGGCATTAATAAGTTAGCGCTAGCTGGCTAGCTAAAGATAATTAGCAGGTGGCTAACAAACAAACAATTTAAAGCTGAATGATTTTAATATTAAAACAAAATAAGTGCAATACACCTTAAATATTTTACCCTACTATGAGCTGTTCCTTAATTTACATTAGCACTCCTTCAGGAGAATAATACAATTAAACACATTAACCAAAGCTAGAGATTAGCAATCGCTAGCTTTGGTTAATGTGTTTAATTGTGCTACCTCTAGCTAGCTAAAGACATGGTATTAACATATGGGCCAGAGCAAGACACAATAAAAATTTATTTTGGAATTTTCCAGTTATTATACTGTCTGGTTACTTAAAGTTAATGCACACCTTCTAACCAATCAGAATCCAGAATTCTGAGTATATAGCAGGACATTAAGGTGTGTTTTTATGTTTCAGAATAACACAAACGATAAATACTGTGTTACTGTCCCTGCATGTGTTTCTTGATCCTCTGGTCTGGGAGCAGCAGACTGAACACATCAACAGAACTACAGCTTTCTGTTGTTGTGTGGTCTGACCTGTAACAATGTTTTTATTGTGTTGTTGTGCAACTGAAACTGTAATCTATAGGGGTGTAAGAAAATATCAATACACTTCAGTATTGATTGAGTATCTCATGATATTGTAGCGATTCTCACAAACACTTTATTGCATTTGAATTAGCACTTTACATGATCTGTGGCAGTGGTTTCATTTTGTCAACATATTGTAATAATTGTAAACCCTGTCTTGTGATATGTATCAGCTCCCTGTCAATACACAGTCCTATCATATAGTTTAACTATTTTTAATCCATTTCAGATGTTTATTTGTGTTTGTTTATTTTATTTTATCTACCTTCTAATTATTTTAGTCTTCCAATTATTTTATTGACTGTTTTCTCGACAGATAATCTTTTGCACAGATATGTAAAGTTTGGGCTTTAAGTTATATTTAAAAGTAGTATTTAACATTAATGCTGGTACGTGCTGTACGTGGTTAATGTAGTTTGATTGTAGCTAACAAGCAGTTTGTGATCCATGGATAGTTTTCAAGGGGAGTCTGTTTAAAATATAATGCAAATATTAACATGTCCTATTTCTCATTATTTTATTTCTTTAATAAAATGATGAATTAAATGAAAATAAAGGTCTATGTTGTGTTTGTTCCTGACTTCAGTAAAGTTTTTTGACGTTCCTTTCATTGTTTGTCCAGAAGATGTTTCTCAGTGAACTGGGTGAATCTCTACTTGATGATTTGGTGTTTAAGACTCAGAAGCTGAATAATAATTGTATCTTCTCTTCCTGCAGTTTGGGTAGATGAATATTCAGAGATTTTATTCCAATCAAAAAACTCCTGTTAGATGTCAAAAGAAGTGAGTTTGATCAGATTTACAGAATCTGTTGGTTTGAAGTGTGAAGAACACAAAGAACAGATGCTGCCTGGTTACTTGCTGAACTTTATTTTAGTAAGATGAGAACTGAGAAAGATCTTCATAAGAGATACACATACTGGATCATGTACATTCAGAAAGTCAAGTGTGAGATATGTATACACACAGAGCCGAGGACGTCTAAAGAAAAATTATTTTATAAAATATGTTTTAAGACACGCTAATTGGCTTATTACTTATTGGATAACTCTTTATTTGGATCGTCCTGCTACACATAGTTTATAGATTATTTGTAATATTTCAACATCTTATTAGTTGATATTGTCTGATATTACATCACTGTGGTTAAGTTTTGGTTAGGTTTAGGTACAAAAACAAATTATGGTTAGGGTATGTTCATGAACTGTCACATGTACTTTGTTGATAATCTACATCTCTACAGACAAAGAGAAACTGTTGAAATATCACAGATACTCTATAAATCTGCAGGAAGACCATACAGTGTTATTTATTATTATTATTAATTATTGCAAACCTATTTTAACAACAGCAACATCATTGTCGGATTAAATCAGTGGATGAATCAAAGTTTGAAGTTCAATGTGCACTTTGAACTGCAGCAGCACAGCTCTGACAGCTACAGTAGAACACATGATGAGACATGATGTTCACTGTGATGGATGCTCTGACTCAAGTTTCAATGGACTGCCTGGAGGAAGGCAAACACATTCACATATACATGTACAATCACTGCATTCAATAGGAAATATATACAATACAATATGTTTTATTAAAGACTATTAAAATACTTCTTTCATATAGAGATTTATTTACAATATGTACACATTATAAACAGTATAAAGTCAGTGCATTGTATTATAATAATGAACAATTCTCTTCTAATTCTGTTGTCTTGTTGATTCAGACTCGTTGTTTAAGACTGATGATTGATAACAGCTGGAGGGAGAACAGAGCGATCAATGACTGAACCAACTTACAGCTCAATGTGAATGATTCCTCTGAGAAACTCTTCATACACTGACAACTCAAACAACTGGGACATTTTAGAGAGCTTACAGTGGAGGATCAATCAGACGATGGCTGTTTAGATGTCTTTGCTCTACTTCTGATGTTAACTGTCTGACATCAAACATGGAACATCTGGGATCACAGTGGAAGCATCATTAACATTACTTCATTTATGACATTACATTATTACATAACTTCATTTAAACTTAAACCTGTAGTAACATGAACACCATTTAACAGAAAAATATACATTTCATATTACAAATAGTTTTCTGACACTTAAAACTCAACATTTATACAGCTGCATAAACGTTTCCTTTCTCAACATCATCTGTTAGTCCAAATGGGTTGTTTCTCGTTTCGTCTAAAGTAACAACAACAGACAGCCAGTAGAACTGCTACTGCCAGTCCCAGTACAACATAGAGGATTATGATTCCCGGACTCTCTGGTTGTGGACTCTCTGGTTGTGGACTCTCTGGTTGTGGACTCTCTGGTTGTGGACTCTCTGGTTGTGGACTCTCTGGTTGTGGACTCTCTGCTTGTGGACTCTCTGCTTGTGGACTCTCTGGTGGTCTCTGAGGTTTGGGCTCATCAGCAGCTGCTGTAAAGGACATTATATAAAATGTGGTTAAACAGCAAACATTATCTAGTTACAGCTTCTCCAATGTGAGGATTTGCTGATTTTCTCTGTTTCCTGGTTCATGGCTCCAGGTCGTTATGATGGACAGTTTCAGCCGCTGGCAGCAGCTCTGTGGATGGAAATATCAGTCTGTCCATCCGTGTCCCCCTCAGGAGGAATTTAACTTAACACTAAAGTAACTCAGCTCAACTATCAGTTTGTGTTTAGTGCTAATTAGCTAATGTTAGCATGCTAACACACCAAACTAATAGTCTTAGACTCTGAGTCCTCTTTTACTAACTGAGTTCTATAAAATCAACTTACCAGTGACTCTGAGTTGACATCTTTCAGAGCTCGCACCATAATTTGTTCTCACGTTACACAGGTACCGGCCCGAGTCTTCAGTCCTGAGTCTGGACACATGAAGTCTGATTCGTCCTTCTCTGAGGACGTCTTTGTCACACTGGACTCGTCCTTTAAACTGTTCATCCTGAGACTCTGAGACCTCAACACCCTTATCTAGATCATACAGGACTGAGATCTTGTAATCAGTAATCAGTCTACAGTAGATATAAAGAGAGTTGAGGGAACTGTGAGTGTTGGTTGTGAACGTCCATTCCAGTGTGATGTTATGGTTCTCCTCTGCCTGATAGGAGGTCTGTGTCACATTCACTACAAATGTTCCTGTTGAGGAGACAGAGAGGGAAAGTGAGGACCAGACAAAGTGACAACTTTAACATGTGAGCCTTTAAACTCCATCTAGAGATGTTTCTGCGGACAGTTTAGTGATGCTCTCAGTGCTGTAGAGGCCTTCCTCCTTACAGATTGAAAGATGGAAGTCTGAAAGTGTATTTGGACTTTTCTCTTCATGGATAATAAAGTGAAGGTGGAAACTAACCACAGACACAGGAGGTCAGGTTGATGAGCAGCAGGATCCAGCAGATCATCTTCTCCCTGTGAGAGGAGACAGCGGTTAAGAGTCATAAACACATGAGGTCAAAGTTCAGTCCTCACATGTACCAGAACAAACATCTGCAGTCTGTCTGTAGTCATTACAACACTCCTTTGTATTTATTATCCTGATTATTACACACAGCTGACCAAAGCATTTCCTCACTGCACACCAAGACTCAATGCTGATGATAAAAACAACCACAATAATGTAAAGTCTGTTTTTTTTTTAATTTTAAAAATGTCTAAGCTGCAGTAATGTATTTCTGACACAAGATGGCGTCAGTAGATAAACTCTCCACTATAAAAACGTGTCAACATGAGGATCAAGGGGTTCACTGAGCTGCTTTGCTGCTGGCTGAAGAAAACAATCCAACATATTTGATGTGTGTGATTCCATAATTAAAAATGAAACGGAACCAAATTTAGCTTCAAATATAATAAAAACACTATGTGACCAAAAATATGTGGACATCTAAGAGGCAACAAAGCTTCCACCTAGTGGTGAACAAATATACAGCAGAACCAAAATGGGCGTAAATTCCTTGTCTCAGTGAGTTTCAGTGTTGTCAGTGTTTTCTGAGTATTTTATTACTTTACCGAATAACACCGATGTAAACAATTACTTGTTTTAAGGAATCAACATTTTGTTCCATTAGGCAGCAACATAAATACTGTCTGCATATAAGGGAAAGACAACTGTAAATAAACAATAACAATCACAATAACAAGAATCATATCCTACTTTATGCTGATCTGAAGTAACGATTGGTAATGCAAGGAGTACAAAGTGAATATGTCCCCTTGAAATGAAGAACAAGAGCGATAATATAACCAGGACACACATTCTTCATATGAAATGTGCAGCTGTTCCTGCTGTTTAATGGCTCACATACATTATTGTTCATACATCATCGTAAAGAGAAAACCCGGATAATTAAACAGACTCAATCTTTACAACCGAAGTCAACTTATGATTAAGAGCATTATGAATAAAGGATACACAACTGACCTCGTTTGTCTTCAGTTAGACCAAATCCTTCTGAATCCTTCTTAAGAAACGATCTTTGAGCGGACTGTGCAGGATGTCTGTTTGTTGAATGTTGATGAACCCAAAACAGAAAGAGAAAGAGAGAAAGAGAAACAGTCTGTGAGTGGGGGGGGGGGAGTTCTATTAACGAATAAAGACATTTATTGTTATAAAACAGAATCAGAATTTATAGTTTCGATGTGAAGTAAAGACTACAGATTATTTTATGCTCTGTGGTCATGAAGTTTAATTATCTTCCTCCAAATAATGAGGCGGTTTAGAGGGGGTGCTGTGGTTCAGAGGCAGAGTGGGGGTTCGATGCTCCCACATACCACTATGTTTTGCTCTGCTCCCTGACTGACTGAACTGTTGATTTGGTATTATTTCTATTTTTCTAGTCCCGCTGCCTTCGCGCGTTCATACGCCTCACATCAGCGCTTCTGTCGCCCGGAGGCGGAGATGAGTGCGCCACCTACCTATACAATACACTAAATATAACACACTAAACTAAGAGTGTTTAAGTTCCAAAGCTCCACCGTTCCTAAGTACAGCCTCACAGAGCAGCTGGGGAGGCTGTAGACTCTTGTTCTCCTGAATCAACTCACCATAGCTCACCAAGTTGTTGACGAACGTGGGCGGAGATTCTCCGCAACACCTACTACCTGTCTACCTGTATCTACCTGTATCTACCTGTCTATCTGTGTCTACCTGTGCCTATCTATATCTACCTGTCTATCTGTGCCTACCTGTATCTACCTGTCTATCTGTGCCTACCTGTATCTACCTCTACAGGACGTTGGTGGCCAGCAGCTTAAACTGCAGCAGGGGGAATTCACTGTATAAAACTACATAGTTTTACTATTAGAGTTCTGTTGATATCTAACCCACACACTGATCTTTACTTCATGTTGACCTGAAAAAAAATATATAATTTCCTCCAAGAACCTGAAGGACTATTCCAGATTGACCAAAGCATGCATCACACATTCTCAATCATATTTCATAAAGTGGGGCAAGGAACAGAAATACCCAAAACACATTTTCAACACTTGAATGCATATTTAGTTACTTGAATATGATGTTTATTATTTTGATAAGATGCCTTATCACTTATTAGACAGATCTGAGATCTGCACTGTGTGCACTTTATTGAACTAATACTGAGAAACATGTCCACCTCATATAATAATAAACTGTTGTGGTACACAGGAAGTCATGCTTTTGTTTATAATAAAAACTAATGGGAAAACACAATCCCTCCATGCCCCTACAAGCACACAATACATTTACACAGTTAGATAATAGCAAAGTTTATTTTTTATTTTTCACATTTTATGTTTTAAGTTACAAAGTGCTTCACAAAGTCAGAAGTGCTTTTAAAACATTTCTTTAGACAATTTAAAATGCAGAAATATAACAATAATAAATATAAAAGACAAATGCTTCAGATTTAGAATCTAAGGGTTGTGGAGTTGGACCACTGTTGCACCTCTCTCCCTCATTTCTTTTTATCTCCCTCACAAAAAAAGAGAAGAGATGAAAATATTCTGTGTTAAATATATGAAATCTATATGTGTAAATACTGTATATACCATTACAGCATACTTAGAGTAAGAATATGAAATAAAGTATGTGTGATTAGTAACTTGGCTGCAAGTGGAGCACAGGCTTGTTTGAGTGTATAAGAATCAACTTGCAGAAACTGACATATGGAGTCACAAACAAGTGTTTTTTTTAAATACTCACACTGAGTCTGTATTATTGTTGCATAGTAATGAAAAAGGACACATTTCCATATATAAATATATAAAAGCAACCAGATCACATTATTATAGAAATCATTGCTTTTTAGATATTTTTTGATGTTTCCTCAGATTATAGATACAGTTTTTTGTGATTCTTTTAAGCACTGATAATGCATTTTATCTTGACTATGTAGCGAGTCATAATTTGTTCACATAATGGCATCAGCACAATGTAATCTATTTGGTGTCCACATATACATTGCACTTTGTCATGTTAGCTTGTGGCGACGTTGCCTTTCCAGTCTAATGAAACCTATTTGGGAGCAGTCCAGTGTGAGACTTGTTCAAGTCTCTGCAAGTTGTATCAGGTCGGGTCTGTGAGACGTAGAAAACACTTAAATCAAAAAGAAGACAAACTCACTATATACATATTTGTCTCTCGTAGCTAGAAACCCACTTGTTATAAAGCTTTTACTGTGAGGATGAATCCAAGCATCCATGGACAGGGAAGAGAATAATTAACCGTAACTTTACTTTCATCTTAGTGCTTCATTCTAGCAGTTTGAACCCAGACTGTAAAAAGTGAAATAGGATCCCAAAATCAGCTCAGCCAAATTTCCACTCACATCTGGAGTGGGTCAGGATAGGGACATTGAATCAGCTCACTTAAATAACTCCTCCTCATTATCTATCTCAATCGGGAGCACGATGTAACGTCCATCCTGGTCTTGAGCTGTATGGTTGACATGAGACAACAGGAAGTGCAGGTGAACAATGGGCACAAATAAATCAGAACAAGTTCCATTAAAACAAATAATAAAGCAGACATACGTTGTTGTCCTCGGTCTTCACAAGCACATGCTGTCAGAAATCTCCAATTTGCCCAAATTACAGCAACAAAAACCACAGCTACTATTAATAGTGGAGCTATGACTTCATGTTTTGGGCTTCTTGGTGGCTGTCCCGCACCTGCATGAAGACACAACACCAGTGTTTTATACTGTTTGTGACATCAGGAGGAGCATTATCACAGCAAGAACATTTGGACAAATGCAGAAAGCTTCAACCACTAAGGAAAGGTATGTTCCCAGATCATTGAACTGTTTGAGTACAACATTAAAGTAAAACTGGGAGAAATTATGGACCAAACTAGAGAAATGTTTTACCTTGTAATCAGATTTATGCATCAAAGTTAAAAGGTAAACTTCATGCGATATTTATACAGTGTTACTTAATGAGTAACCATGGTAACAGCTTACCATGTTGACCTTTAGTTGCTGCCACTTGAGACTTTGATGAGTTGAGAGACACATCACTGCTCTCTCCATCATTGGTCTGGGCCACATTCAGTACAAAATGTTCTATGGGGTCAAATGTGTATTAGTATGACAGTAACACTTCCATTGTACAGTGCTGCAGTGCACAGAGCATTTCTGCTGTTCATTTCAAATCAACTTAAAGAGCTTACCAGTGGTCTCTAGCCCCCATCTTCTCCTGATCTTGTCATAATTAGCAGCCAGATCACACCAGTAACGTCCAGAGTCATCAGTCCTGACTCTGGACATATGAAGTCTGACTCGTCCTCCTCTGAGGACGTCTTTGTCACACTGCACCCGTCCTGCAAACTGCTGATGCTGAGACTCTGAGGACTCCACACCGTCAACCATTTCATAGAAAAGCTTCAGAGGCTCTGACTGGAAGAAACAACGCAGGATGGTGAGGGACATGATGGGACTGTCCCATCCGATGGTGATGTTATCGTCCTCCTCTGCCTGATAGAAGGTCGGAGTCTTTTTCAAGACAAACATCCCTGTCGACGAGAGAGAGGGCAAAGAGAGGCACAATAGAGACGTTATGTAGAGTCAGACATCGATCTTCACCTCATTTCTGTCAGATGTACTGAGACTTACACATAAACTAACCACTAGAGCTACTAGTGTGTGATTCATCCATTGAAATAGAAATTATATTACATTAATTGTCATTTTTAGTGAAACAAAACCAAATATTTGCTGCTTCCAGCTTCTCATATGGGCAGGTTTGCTGTTTGTCTTTGTAATATATGACAGTGAATGAAATAATGTTTGGTTTTTAACTGTTGGTTGAACTAAACAAGCAGTTTAAGGACGTCACTTTGGCCTCTGGAAGTCTTTATGGGAGATTTTTCACAACTTTCTTTACATTCATAAACAGTTTGATTGGATTAATGGAGGAAATAATCAGCAGATTAATCGTTAATGAAATGAATTATTAGTTTCAGTCCTACTAACCACAGACAGAGGAGGTCAGGCCGACGAGCAGAAGGATCCAGATCATCTTCTCCCTGTCAGAGAGGAGACAGGTTTATTAGAGGAAGAAGAACTTTATTAAAACAGGACAGATTGGTAGATCACTCAGCACGAAGAAGATCTTCCTTTAAGGTTTGTAACGTTTCTAAATCAGTCAGAAATAAAGTGTAAGGTCACAAAGGAGCATTTCTGTTGTAAGAGTGTCATAAAATCAATCTTGTCTTTGTCGTATAACTGGAGTTTGTTTGGTTTGCTTTAAAGAATCATTTCATCCTTCAGATAATATTAAACTACACATGTGGTTATAAATACAGAAGTCATGGTGATCAGTTTTATTAAAATCAGTTTTCTTTGTATAGAGCCCAATCATAACAGAAGTGATGTCAGGACACTTATCACATAAAGAAGGTCTACACTGTTATAAAATGAGTTACAGAGACTCAACAGGTTTCTAAGTTTCTTTTTGTGAATAAGAAAAGTTTTGTTCGCTGCGTGATTGTTTTCAATGTTTGTTGTTGTAATACTCATTTCAGCCACAAGAGATACACATAAACAGGAGAGAAAACTATTTAGATCTGACGTAGAAAATCAGCACAATCTTTTTGTCCCTACCCCCTCAGGGCTTCCGTACAACAATTACAATCAGCACCATGTCATGTCTCTGTGCTGATTGTTGTGCTGTACACACTGTGAGCTACTAGATATTAAAGCAGCTGTTAACATCAGAGTGCAGAGTCTTGTTTCATATAATCTCAGTGTACAGTTACTGCAGTAGCCTCAGCTTTAAAACAAAGTCCTACCTGTTCATGTGTTTGTGCTAGGTGTGTTGTCTGTCAGCTGCTCCCAGGAACCATGAACTCCTCCCCAAGCGTGTGAACGAGGACGAGCGAGCGATGGCGCAGTTTTCCTGCTGAACAACTTTCTGGCTGCATTGCATCAGTCAGACACTGATCTGGAAAGGAAACACTGTTGTTTACATTTTTTCATTTCATCTCTGGTAGAACTCTTTAATCCTCGCTGTTAGAAACTTTCTAAAGACCATCCAACCTGCTGAACTGGATTTTAAACTTTATTGTGAACTTTCCAGATCAGCTGATATAAAAGTTCAGCCATAAAAAAACATACTATCGTGGATGTTTTTCCAGTATTGATTAATCTGCTGATTATGTTTTCATTTAATCTATTGTTTTACTCATAAAAGGTCAGAATATTGTGAAAAAGCCTCTCAACCACCTAATGTACAATGTGACGTCCTCAGACTGCCTATTTCTGCTCGTCCAAGAGTCCAAAACACAAAGATATTCAATTTAAAATGATATAAAACAGAGAAAAGTTCCTCACATTTACGATTCTGGAACCACAGAGTTGTTGGCACTTTTGTTTCCTAACAGATTATATATGTTCATAAAAATTGTTAATTAAGTTGTTTTGATCAACTGATCAATTAAGCCATTTGACTCTTTCTATCACATCAAGATGAAGATTAAACCTCCAAACTCTGTATTTATCCAGCTCATTAATCTCAAACACACATCTTAGAGCCATTTTTAAACTGTTTTCTAATCCGAGTCGACAATGGATCAAACATATCAGCAGTGAATGAACCACTGTACACAATTCAAACTGTGCTGACAATAAATCAAAGGTTTGAGTTACTTACTTTGTAGTTGATGGAGCAGCAAGCTGTCACACTTTATGTCTGAACTGGACGAGTTGATTCACTACAGTCTGAATGTTACAGGAGGAAGTAGGTGAGTTTATATGGAGCAGTTCACTGTGTTCTTACATCAGCTCAGAGTCACACAGACAAACCCAGAGGAGGAGCTTTAGTCACATGATTTTACTTCAAAGTGAAAGTATAGAAATAAAAGCTGTTATTCTTTATTTCTCATAGAACTTTAAAGCCCCTGTCCTCCTCAAACTCAAAGATATTAAAGCCATCAATCAACAGTCAGAATGTCCTCACAGTTACAAACAAAAAGATAAAGAGTTGTCTGACTGTTGGGAACGTTCAACAATATTCACCAAGTTCCCCAAATGGATGACTTCTTGTTTCCTGTAACATGAGACTGTGCTGATGTTGACATCCCATGTGATCAAATGTTTGTGTCACCTCAGAATGAAATGATCTGGAATATTTGAGATTAATTTATTCAGCTTCTCTGGCTCATAGAAATTGTCATCAACCACAGAACATTTATAATCCTTCAATAAGTTGAATGGAATCATTTTTTAAGATTAAAACATGAAGAAAAGTTGGTAACACTTCATATTAAGGCTCACATATTGACCATTAACTATCTACCTATTAGCATGCAGCATACTGACTCTTGTTAGTGATTATAAAGTATGAATGCCTTATTCTGAATGAGCTCATTCTACAACTACTAGGACATTAAGAGTATTAATGAGGTAGACATGTTTATCATCAGTCTCTTTTAATATGTCGTCCAGGCTTCATTTATAAGTTAGGGTAAAGAAAAAGGAAAGTTCTGACAAAAACGGAAACAACAAAATTTGTATTTATTTATTTTTATTCCAGAAATAATCCTTAGATTTACTTATTGAACTTTAAGGTTTGAAAAAAATAATAATGAAATTCACATTTTAAATGACAGAAGTAGTACTATTAGGAATTCCCTATAGTCTGTGAGAGTTGTGGCTTATGGTGTGTTCAATTTACACTGAAAGTCGGAACCTGGAGCTCTGAACAACGTAACCCCACAGTTGAGTGCTCCCTGCTCACTATGAATCTGAGGGGGTCACTATGAATCTGAGGGGGTCACTATGAATCTGAGGGGGTCATGCCCCCCGGCCCTAGTGCCATCTGCGCTCATGTTCCACAGGAAAGCATTGTTACCAACTCCTCGGTAAGGAAAGCAGCTTCGTCTCCTCTGCTCGGACTGCTACTGTGAGACTGGCCGCCTGTGAGTGCTTCTTGACGGGGAGGGACTCACAGCAGCACCCGCTGCTCGTTGAGCACCGTAACTGATAAAGTCTCCAATAACACCAGAGAGGTCGCCAACATCTCTGAGCCACAGTCTCCATCACAGTAGAGTGTCTGTGGGAGAGGCCACTGTGTCAGACAGCTCAGGTGACGTCATCTGACATTTGCATATCACAATAGCAGCCCACGTGTACTCTGCTGCTCGTGCCCTTGCTGTGCGCGCTGTCTGTCTCAGTGGAGTAGTAAAGGAGGAGCTTGTGTGCGCATGCTGTGTGCGTGACAGCGATTTAAAATGTAAAAAAAATAGAAAAGAAAAACAACTGGAATGCACATTTCCTCACTTGATGGTTACTCAGTAAAAAAGAACAGAATATTATTTATATGTATTAAAAACACTCAAAAGTAGGAGGTCTTCTAATGGAGCTACAGGCTATCTACAGTACTCAGATCAATGTCTGGAAGAAATAATGATGAATATATATTGTGAAATACAAATTCATTTGATCAGATCTGATATCATTTCAGGCTTACCATTTAGTTTTAAACTGTTTATATAGTTTATAAGGACAAGAAACCAGATGTGGCATTATTAGTGCTAACGAGGGATGTGGAAGGTTAGGTAGTTACTGGATCGTTATAATGACAGTAGAGATGTAAGGTAGTTTGGAAGCTTTAGAACAGTAGAGCTTTATAAATAACATGGGATGGATATTTCTAGTTGACAGTAAGTCCATCCAACCCTTTGATACAGAGAACAGTGATGGGTACAAGATTAGTCATTAGTGATAAAGAGTAATGCACTGTCCACATGAAGTAAAGAGCAGTGTGTAGGTTAGATATCAACAGAACTCTAATAGTAAAACTATGTAGTTTTATACAGTGAATTCCCCCTGCTGCAGTTTAAGCTGCTGGCCACCAACGTCCTGTAGAGAGATCATATTTATAAATGTTAACCTGATGGCAGAGATGGTTCTGTAACCTTCGGGATTTCTCCACCTCTACTTAGCAGTCTCACTCACTCAGTCACTCAGTGAGTGAGAAACAGCCTGCATGAGGCAGAGAGAATGTTACCAGAGGGGGGCATAGTTACTTTCCCCTCTCTGTGTAGAAAGGACACAGTAAATGTACACTGAGTCACTGAGGGAGTGTTAAGTAGAGGTGGAGTAGTAGTAGCAATAGTTCTCATTCAGCACATGAACATTCGTGATAAATCGTAATGTTCTCAAATTCTAGACTGTACAGCCATCATCAGACAGACTGACCTGAGCCTTTTCATAAATATCTTAAATATTTCTTCAGGTTGTAAAATGTCCCAGTGGTTTCAGTTGTCACTGTATGAAGAAAAACTCTTGCTGCTCTTGCTGAAATCTGATTGTCCGCCGTGTTTTATCCACCAGCTCTCCCACCAATAACATAGCAATCAGCAAACATATGTCTATAAAGACATAAGATAATAACTTGTGGCCATAAGATAAACAAATGTTACCTTTTGGGACTTTAGGGGCTCCGTACAACACAAGAACAAACGCGAGTTAAAATATATGTTTTCTGGTAAAACTATGTAGTTTGATACAGTGAATTCCCCCTGCTGCAGTTTAAGCTGCTGGCCACCAACGTCCTGTAGAGAGATCATATTTATAAATGTTTACCTGATGGCAGAGATGGTTCTGTAGTAACCGCTGGGTCTTGTTGAAGTTGTCGTCTCTCTGGCGTAAACAGTCGCAGTTCTTTATAGAGGGAAATGTGAAAGGCTCTCTTCCTTAAAAGGGCTGTTTCCGCCCACCGAACATTGATAATGGGCATTTCTATTTTTTATTTTATTATTATTTTTTTTTTGCTGTTGTTTTTGTTTCTATCTGAGTAAGAGGAACTACTACCTCCCCCATTGATTCTTTATGATAGTGCTCAACCGCTACGTAATGCGCACTCCGGCCACTGCCACCCTTTAGCGCTATAACCACCTAAAACTCCGTCTCGCCTCCTCGACTGTGTCAGTGAACAGAGAAGAGCAGAGAAGAACTTCAAAAGGTCAGTAACGTTTGTGATAAAGACGAGATAAAAGATTACTTATATGTACTTTGTCTCTGATTCAGTCGCTCTCCACCAGTTCTTGCCTCAACTGCACCTGATGAAGACACCAGTAGGTTTTTTTCATCGCATGTAACATATGCTTTCATACCTGCCAACTTTTCAAAAAACCTTGGAGTGAGATTTTGTCAGGTGTGACCAAAACGATGCCGCGCACGCAGCCACACAAGTTGGTGGCTCAGATATCAGAGGATTGGAATTCATTTGATGTTGTACCCAGCTGAAGGTCCACCCACAGGACATTTTGGATTAAGTAGATGTGATTTCCTGCATTCTAGTGGATTGTTGGGAGGTCTGCTAAAGATGTGCAATACCTGAACTTATTCTGATTCATGTTCGGCATCATGACTTGTAGGGCCTTCTAGACTTGAGCTGAACATTCAACCAGAAAACTATTGTTGTGCCTCAATGACTGCCTGTATCACAATAAAGCCTTATTCATAGCCCAGTGTTTAAGATTGGACCTAGTGCCTGTAGGTTGATTGATATGTTGATTAGAATGGTATTAAACTGATATTGTGAGCATGCAGTATACCACCAGGTTAACAAGGTGCTCTCCTGCTGCTTGTTATGACAGATTTCACCACATTAAATCATGTTCACACGCACAAACAAATCATTTATATCAAGATTTAAAGTTTAACAGAGTGAGTACTCAACTGGACGACATTTCATTGTTACATACTCTCAGCTCAGATCAAGGACCACATTTTGATTTCAGAGGTGAGGGGGACACAGGTATTTTTTTTGGCCTTTTGATGGCTTCATTTATAGAGACAGCTGTAGGGAGACAGTGATGGTGGGTGGAGAGAGAGGGGATGACACGCAGCAACTCTACCGACTGAACTAACCGGCGGGCGCCCCCATTACACAATAGTAGTTCTTCTAGTTTTCTATCGCTACTTTTACGTTTACTG